GTAAGACCTCACTTGGGAGTATGCCTCTATTATATGGGCACCACAAGCCAAATTCAATGTTGATGTGATTGAAAAGGTTCAAAAACGATTCTTGAGGTTTCTTTATGTCAGAAAGTTTGGTATCTATCCATATATGATTTCCTAGAATGATATGTTATCTTGTTTTAAAGTTCTGCGACTGGATAAAAGAAAAAATTTTCATCCAGCCCTTTTTATTTACTATGTTGTAAATCACATTAAATATAAAGATTGCTGTTTTATAAATAATATTAAATTTAATGTTCCAAAAATACATCTAAGAATTAATAACAAACAACTGCTCTTAACTGATAAGAGTGATTGTTCACCCATAAATAAGATGTTAGAAGAATGTAACCAAGTGATTGGTCCAATATTTTGGACACATAGTAAGGGGAGACTGATATAATATTCTTCAACTTATTATGATAGGTAAAATCGAAGGACGCAGAGGAATTGGTAGAAAGCAGGCCTCTTGGTTGAAGAATATCAGGTAATGGACAGGAATAAGAAAAGCTGAGCAACTCTTTAGAATAGCTCGAGACAGAGACAGTTTCGCCATGTTAATCGCCAACGTCAAGGGGACTTGATAGTGCACGTTAGGAAGAAGAACCAAGTGATAATTAACTGTGATATAAACTTTTTAAATTCTTCTGCGAAACAAATAAAAGTTGCTTTTGAAACAAATTTAAAGTCCACAAAAGTTGTTTTCTTAAAATTTAATTTAAATGTATACTGTTTTTTTACTTGTTTTATTCTGTCTAAGTTTTGTGTTTAATATAGTTATTAGTTTTTAGCAATAGTAAGCACTCTTTTAATGTAATAACAATTATTTTGTGTTTTAAAGGAGGTTAAATAAATAAAAAATAAATATTTGCCCTGTAGTATATTTGCCCATTCCTATTTGGTACTGCCTCACCTCAATATTTGTACTGCTTTCTTATTATTACATATACTTAATGCCCTCTTAGTTACGCCAATACTGCATACTTATCACATTTATCTAGAATAAAAAAAGAGCCCTTTTTGTACTTACCTAAGGGAACATCAGGGTGCACTTCATAATTTCCATAAAGAAAACCAATTCTTTGGTGGCCAGTGACCCTCCAATAGTTCAAAAATCTTTCGACTAAATTTGTGTTTTCGAAAGTCACGTTATCAACATGCCTATAAGCCTATAAATAAAAACAAATTTCATATACCATCAAAAACCTTGTTCAAAGATACAATAAATTGCCCATAGGTCTGTATTATTACCTGCATATTCAGTGTGATAGCGTTAGGCTGGCACTTAGAACAGATACCCCTTGGCCATGGTGGATGATCCTTGCAGCCTTCTTTAATGCGACAAGAGATGTCTTCTAGGGCTAAAAACTTCCCACGGTCCACTCCAGACATCATTTTGCGCAAATAGGAGTGAAAGGACAGATGTTTAATGTTGTGTTCTTTCAAATAAGATTCGTCATAAGGTTCTAGTGGTGAGCAATGAACACAGCGGGAGTTGGTATTATGACGGCAGCTAAAAAGAAATTATTTGTATTTTTTATAGTTCTAAAACTATTTGAATGTTTATTTTAGATAAGGTGAAAATAGTAATAATGTTTATTTTAGGTGCAGTATGTTATTTTAACATTTTTAAAGTGAAAATTGTGTTTTGCACATCTTAATGACGAGCCTAACTAATGTTTGTGATGTAGATATTTAGATAAATAGGATAGTGAACTATGATTTCTGTTTCTTTCCTCTTTGTTAATAATTTGTAATAAATGAAGATATTTGGACAATTTTAATCATTTACATTTTAATATATTCTTATTTTGATATCTTTGCACAATGTCTGTTCCCTTCAAAAACAACAAAAATTGTAAGATTTAGAGTGGTATTATTTTGTTGCTGTGTTATTTTAAGGCAATATTTTTTTGCAATATATTAATCTGACTTGGAATGTTGTTTTGTTCTATTTTGTCAAAGAAGGCTCTTTTGTCTCCATTTTTTAAACAAAAAGTGTCTTTTGGATGTCTATGATCATGATTCCTATTGTTCTTTGGTATGAATTTGGTTAGTTTTGCCTGAGTTGCCATATTTTAACCCAACCTCACTAAATCTCAACTAATTTAACCCAACCTAGTCACACCTGACTGAATACAACCTAAACAAACTTTACCAAACATAACCTTTGTACATGTACTTTGTACAATACAAATTGTACAAAAATTACTGTTTTAGTTTTTAAACTTCAGAAGTGATCAGTTTAAATAGGATTGAAAACTTAATAACTTAGTCATAATCTTGTATATTGTTTTTAATTTAGTAGAATCTTGAAAAAACCAGATATATTCATAAACATTCTTACCATAATTAAGTAATTTGTTTTAACAGTTTATAATTTACTTAAATTTTATAAAAATGGTGTTAGAATAACAAAATTGTGTATTGTGAGTGGTGTAACTATTAACATACCACAACAAATTTCTGTTGTGGTATGTACTATTTGAATCGTACTCCAACTTTAAATAATATTAAGTAGGATGTTTCAGTCTGTGGTCCAAGAATACCCAATAGATGTAGATACATAATAATAAAAATACATACTAGATTTTATACAAAATCAATTTGTATTTTCACAAAATAGAATATTCTTGTAAATGTACCAACATAACTGTCAAATAATCCTGGATATTGAATTGTCATAAATAACCATATTTTCTACTATGGCATACTGAACAGAGTTATCTATACCAAACTGGCATACCTATCATTGCATGACAGTATATTTAAAGTTATTCCTTTTTTAAATGAAAATACATAAATTTTAATTTTGACAGCCCCATAATATACAATGTGCATTAATCAGTAACTGAAACATAATTGTGTCAAAATTTTAATTATAACCCTTGCCATACTGTTGTAAATGTGTATACTTGAATACTTACAGTTTGTCATCTCTATTCCTCTGCACCTTCCCATCAATTTTCATTAACTGTAGATCTACTTCATCCTCTTTAATGTTCGCAGAGCCACTTCGGATTCTACCTTTTGAATATGAAGTAGAGCTCGTGGAAGGCATAGCACTAGTCGAAGGGATGGCATCATCCACTGGTTCCCCAGAAGGAGAGTTATTACTCTAAAAACATATAAACTCACATTTAACTAGAACTTTCAGCGACTATATTAGGTTTTGCTAATTTTTGTAATAAAAATCACAATGACAAATTTTAAAATTATATCCAACTTACAAACAACACTGCTCCATTAACAGGAGCTAAATATATCATATCCCCATGACGCAAACCCAAGGAAAGCACACTTTTAGACTTGCTACTAGGTATCTCACTTTTCTTGTTTTTTTCTTTGTATAAAGCAAAAGCGAAACTGTTTAATTCAAAGGCGTCATGAACTGTTTCGAACAATTGACAAGTTGTGGAAGAAGTGCTGATTTCAACTCTTTTTGTTCCTTCTGGAGACTGTACTCTCAGCAACTGAAATTTGAAAATCAAAATTGAGGTTATGTACTATAGTGGACAGTTATTAAAATCGTATCCAATTACGTAAATTTATAATTTGGGTTTAAAGTGAGAAACAATTCTTACCATAGGTTTGTTTCTCGACATTATGAAAAAATATCCATGTATATTTTTATAGCTTCGTCAGTACAATTTTGATTTTAATTGTCAAATTCACGGACAGAATACCAACACAAATTTGCTCCGTCATTAACACCTTGCCATTTGTCTACATAAGTCAGGGTCTCCACCATTCTTTTGTTCTATACACAAAAATAGCACCATCATAGCTGAGATATTAGTTGCCTATATAGTAGATGATTTAAAAAAGTACAGATTTTTAATGTCTATTTTTAATATGAATAAACTAATTATATCTATTAAAAATCTTGGCAGCTGGTTTTATGTGAATGCCTTGCCTGAGTTTACAAATTTTATCTATTTAAAGTAAATATTTATTACAAATAGTTATTGTTTTTTACTTTCCGGAGTATATTATTTTTGTGAATACTTAAAAAAGTATAAGAATATAATTTTCTTGTTTGTTGCGCCTTCAGTTTTCAGAATGATTTTATTATTATGACTGTTATTGATTAAATAAGAGTATATATCTCAAAAAAAGTGTTGAGACAAAGACCTTATAATCATCCCCTAACCTAAAGTACCTACAAGAAAGGAAAAGGTATTTTAACAATCAAATATCCACAAAGTTGGATATCAGCGCACTATTAAATATGTTTCTTTATAACGTTGTAGATCCAAATAAATATTTTATTACAAAAATGGGATATGGACCAATCGGGGTGTAAATTTTAAAATTTAAACAATTAGTAAAATGGCAAATGGACCTGGATATGGAAGTAAAAATTCCAAAAAAGAAAAAAATTAGACAACTGGTAAAATCAATTTTAAAGACATATTTGATACAGAGTGATGTCGTAAATACCATAATTTAATATTTTTATTTTAGGTTCGATTATTTCGAATATTTCTAAAAATATGTAAGCGCTGGCGATGGAGTTGAACAGGTAAAATAATTTTGGTGGCAGTTATGAACTACTAGACTGTGATACTACAAAAATTTCTACGTGGGTTTTCGTTTAATAAGCCCGAAGCTATTCCAGTCGCTAAGAAATAATTAACATTCTAATTTCAGCTTTGTTTTTGGATGAAAAATGGACGTGGCTTGTGGCGGAATTCCAAAATGAAACTGCAAATCGACATATTTCTAGAACATTCAGTTGTGTGCGCACCTATGATATCATCCAGCTGACATTACTTAAATATTTGTGAAACAACAAAGATTTATAAATAAAATATTGTTTTTTAGTTTTAGTGTTTTGGTGTAATTTACAGTGACAATCAAAATTTTTAAATTTGACGTTTTATTTTGACAGTTTTGTCAAGAGGTGGTGTTATTGATCCTGTATAGGCCCCAAAGGCCAAAAGTTTATATATTGTAAATAAATAAAATCCAAAATGAGTACAAATAAAGTGGAATTGTATATTTATGATCTGTCCCAAGGCATGGCAGCTATCATTTCCCCTACAATAATAGGTACATAATATATAAAATGTTAGTTTTTGAGGTTATGCCATTTTTAACTATTTTTTTCTTGTCAGGAAAGAAAATTGATGGAATTTGGCACACGTCCATAGTGATTTATAACCGGGAATATTTCTTCGGGTCTAGAGGCGTTGAAAGCTGTAATTCAGTAAGTAGCTAATTAGAAAACCATCACTTTTACTTTTTTCTCTTACAGAAGTTCCTTAACTCCTTTTATTTTTACTTAATTGTAAACAAGTTGCTTATTTTTGTACAGACGACACATTTTCCACTCTCTAATCTGTCTAACGAATTTCTTGGCTCTCTTCTAATGTAATACTAGTTTTATGAGAGGGTTCTAATTTTGGACAGCTAAAAATACCTACTCATCTGTTTAGTGTAGGCAGTTACAGTTTTCATTGTAGAGCGGGTTGAACTTTATTGTGTATTTAATTCAATTAACAATCACTGTAAGTATTACCTTAAATCATTATAGTATACTATAAATGAGGATATAACTGTTTACTATCATAGTTGCAGTTCTTGAATTTGAAATTGATTCATCCAAAGAAAGTGACAATTACTTTGATAAAGTCTATTTAAAAATTGAAATGTAATGTATATACAACTAGTATTTGATTTTAGATATTAAAGTTCTGGTTCTTAGATAGTGCTCTAGATTCCCCACATACAGAGTGGCCCACAAATTCTTTTTGCTACATATTTTATATTAAATCATTGTTTTTCTTAATAACAGGTTTGGACATTAATACCTGGTTATATGTATATTCCTATATTTCAATACCATATTATATTTAAACTATGAATTATTTTTATTTATAGAAAAAGGCTAGGTTAGTTCTGACATTATCAGCAGATTGTTGAACCTTTGTGTAAAGTTTTTCACAAGTACCTATTCTTTTGGCCTAAATAATAAATGACATATAATCTAAACATAATAACCATTAAGTTAAAATCAAGTCATAATTTTACCAAAAAAAAAATGATCCTTTCACTAATTATCTAGAGATTTGACAACAATTATTATTTTTTTAAGTTTTATCAATAAATCGAACAACCAATTAACAAAGGCTGTGGAATTGCTTAGTTGTATGGGTCTGTAGTAGCATTTACAATGTTAAATGACATGACAACATAACAAAAATAGTTAATCACATACAGTTGACTTAGATTTGACTTCGAACGCCCTTGTTTATGAATTTTGATACATTACAAGTAACTGGTCCATATATAAATCAATAAATAGTTTATTTACAGTTATACCAACTTGGTATATTAAGTAATTTTAAAATGTCACAATACACTATATCTTCTGAAGAAATCTCTAATTTATAGCTTAACTTATATCAGAAATATTTTCTAAACTTTTCTGACATTTATATAAAGGAGACCAAATAGTGCTGGAATATTCCAGAACTGATCTAACCATGAACAATACACACTTTTAAAACAATCTAGTTTATTGAATTTTGACAAGGTTCTTTTCAAAAATCCAAGTAATCTAAAAGCTTTATCACAAATAAAATTATAGTGATTTTTGAAACATAAAGTGGGATCAAAAAATACACCTAAATCTTTGAAAGTGTTTGTTGGTTCCAGAAATATATTATTTATAGAGTAATTAAAACAGATAGGTTGTGAGTTTCTAAAAAAGCGCATTATTGTACATTTATCTATATTAAGTGAAAGGTCATTCATTGTACACCATTGTGAGTTGTTTACATTTTTTGCTTTTTGACACAATCTCTAACATCCATAATAATTCTAAAAATTTTCAAATAATCTAAAAATTCAAATAATTTTATTTATGAAATAAATAAAAATAATAGTCGATAAATGACCACCCTGTGGGATGCCAGACCTAACCAAAATCTCTTCAGAAAGACAGTTCTTGGCTTGACAACCTGAAGCCTGTCTGTCAGGTAGCTTTCCAACCACCCAAGCAGGGATCCATGAATTCCTAGTGCTTCTAGTTTTTTTATATAAGAATCTTGATGTTAACCCGATCGAATGCCTTTGAGAAGTCGGTATAGATCACATCGACCTGAGCCCCCTTCCTAAAGGCATCCAAAATGAATTCTAGATTTGTGGTTACTTGATGGAAATTCATTTTATGTAACAATAAAACACTGAAAACTTTGTTTTCAAACTTCCACAAAATTTATTTTAACTTTTATCACTACAGCTGTTTCGGCTGATTGTCTTTCTCAAGTGATCTATCTTTGGCATGCGTTTACAATTTATAGTCTTTAATGAGCCACTACTATAACACTACTAATACTAGTATTGCTATAGATAAAATAGAATATAATAACAAAACAATAGAATTCTTAAATAATCACAATATTGAAACTTTACACAAAGATCCAACAAAAAAATATCAAAAACAAATTAAGCTAGCGTTAGAAAATTCAAAATTAATAGTAAATCCAATAAAACAGAAATACCTCAATATCATGAACCCACAGCCTATTAAATTATACTCTTTCATTAAATTACACAAACCGGATCACCCAATAAGACCTGTAGTTTCTTTTTATACAGCTCCATCATATAAACTTTCAAAAAAACTGTTAGAGATTATTTTAGAACACACTAAATTTTCACCTAAATTTACCATAAAAAATACAATAGGACTAGTTAATAAAATACAACATTTTCAATTACCTAACAACTCCAGATTAATTACATTTGACATAAAAAATCTTTTTCCTAGTAACCCTCCTACAGAAACTTTTATTCTAGTAAAAAACCTTTTAGACCAAAATAGTACAAATCCAATAATTACATCTGAAATTTTACATCTTGAAGTTTGCATAAACCAGGACTACTTTGAATTTAATAATCAAATATATACAAATAACAGCGCAGGACTTATAATGGGCAATCCTCAAGCCCATTACTATCAGATATTTTTATGGACGATCTAGAGACAAAGATTTCAAAACATCCCGTATTCAAACAATTTCTATATTGGTGGAGATACGTAGACGACATACTGGTATGTTTCACAGGAACTAACAGGCAACTCGACCAATTTTTATCGTATATTAATTCACTTCATAGTCATATTGAATTCACAATAGAATCAGAACAAAATCAATATATAAATTTTTTAGATTTAGCAGAACATGAAAGGGCTTTCAATAATAGAAAAACAGATTCGACATGCTCACTTCGTCTTCTAGATCATAATCATTCTTTTAATGACAAATTTAAAATTCTTCACATTCAAAATAAAGGCCTTAAGCTATCTTTGTTAGAATCTATGGAAACCAACGAATTAAAAAACACAGATATAATTCTGAATGACCAACTTGAGACAAACAGTTCTCCCCTCCTCAACCTATTTCATTAGAGACTATAAATTGTAAACGTATGTCAAAGATAGATCACTTGAGAAAAGCAATTAGAGGAAACAGCTGTAGTGATAAGAGTTAAAATAAATTTGTGGAAGTTTGAAAACAAAGTTTTTAGTGTTTTATTGTTACATAAATTAAACTTTTAATTGGAAAAAATATTTTTGAAGCAATAATTGACTCAAAAATCTTTGCAAAAATAGAAATTTTGGAAGTGGGACTGTAATTTTCTATACATGTTTTACTACCATTCTTAAAAATAGGAGAAATATAACTTTTTTTCTACTCTTCTGGGAAAGTCCCAGTACTTAATGAAAAGCGAAAAATTTTTAGTAATACAGGAGACAGAACAAAACGACATTTATGTACAAAATAAGGTGAAATTTCATCAGGTCCCTACTAAGTTTTAGATTTAATTTTTCTAACTTATTAAAAATATCTATTAGATTAATATCACAGCTGCTTAAACTAATTGTTTTATTATAATCAAAGCTTGGAATATCACAGTTATTGTTATCTACATATAACTTAAAGAAATGTTGTTTAAAAAAATTTGAAATTTCTGATGAATTGTTTGACTCATTGTTGTCATAGGTCATGTTGTTTGGTAAGTCATAATGTTTATTTTTACTGTGTACATAACTCCAGAACTCTTTGGAATTAGTCATGGTTTTGTTCCAAAGTTTTTATAGTTTGACTTTTACATTGCTCAGCTAAGCTCATAAAATTTTTCACCATGCCCTGACAAGATCTCAAGGAATAAGTAGGAGGAGGTTATGTTAGAAAAGTAACTGTTGTAGGTTATTTAGTAATTATTATTTTTTTTTTTCAATGGATGGTTATTATTGAAGTACTTTTTGTCTTATATGATTGTGAACTAATTGTTTGTGGTTCTTAATCAAATATTTGTTCTAGGGTACTACAGCATTAGGACGTCCACTGAGGGTAGAAGTTTTGGGAGAGACACAGGTCCCCTACACTGTGTTCATTGATTATTTGAAAGGACTATCAGAATCTTCCTATGCGTGAGTATTAAACAGATCCTTTAATACAAACATAACAACCATACACTTTATCTTTTTATCCTGTTTATCTTTTCATATGTTTATATTTTTCATGGAATAATCTACACTCAGATGCAAAAAAAACCAAACAGAAAATTTTGGTCCAATTCAAAGTATTTTAATTTTTTCATTCACCCCTATTTTGTTGATTTTTTTAGCACACTGTGTATAAATTTGGTATGGTCAGTTTTTTGATAAAATTTTATATTTGACTTATTGTACGGGGTTAATTAAAATATGGTTTTATTATCCTATATTTGAAACATCCTGTGGAATAATTCCGTTTGCGAATTTTCGTAAAACCTTATTTTTCGGTTGCAACCATGTCTCCTAAGCATTGTGTTTTTTGTTTCATGTCAAAATATGCCTTGGTTCATTTTTTAGAACTAAATGAATGCCACCCACAATTTAGGACTTTTTAAATTATGATTATTTCTTAGTTGTATCATATTTCTTATGATAGTTCTTTTGTAATACGACGAGGTGGCTTTTCTTGAAAATTATAGTGGAAGTGAGGATTTTCTGGGGTACATTGAAATAACAAACGCCATGTTTCGTTTAATTGCAACTACTTCAGATTTTTTTCAATAATCAATATTGGCAACACGCCATACATCGAGTGTTTACAAAAGTTATACAAAGATGACGCTACATGTATTAAAATACCTTTTTTTGATACATCTCAACACCCCCACTTATCAAAAAATATCTAAACTTTCAAACCCAAACCTAGCCTAAATTACATTTTCCAACCCTTTAGTAAGGATGTCATCCAACATTTCATCAGTACTCAAATACTTCAACTCAATAACAATATTTTGGATAGCCTCTCTGATGAAATGGTGGTGAATGTCAATATGTTTTGTTTTTTATTATATATAAATTGTTTAACTCGATTGAAAATATTAAGAAAACCGCTCGACAAGCTAAACAGCCTTCCACAATTACATTTCTTACAGTCTTTCCATTAGTAGAAATAACGTTTTTGTTTTTTTATTACAATTTTATATTACCGATCATCCCACTCTGAATCCGCATTTCATTGTTGTCTGTTTTGTGCTGATTTCATGAATATGAAATTGTATCAAAGTATATTAATACACGAGTTTATTCTGTGTTGCTCACTGCAAATAACAACATGGTTGTCATCCCTCAGCCCTCCTACTCACCTGACCTATCTCTTGCGGACTTTCCGCTATTTTCCAATCTCTAAGAGATCTTGTGAAGCCTGATGTTTGGCTCCATTGAAAACATTAAAGAATAATCATTGGAATAGTTGAACAGCATTCCAGAAGAACATTTCTCCGAGCCTTCCAGCAGTGTAAACGACATTGGTGGACGTGTCTTTCAATATTGAATGATTTATAATATTTTTAAACCTTTTTTACTATTAGTCCTCGAACTTTCCGATAAACCCTCGTACATGTAAACTACTTTTATATTAGGTACTATCTCGTTCACGTTTCTTTGGCCATCATACATATATTTATTTGTATCATTTCGTTTCATTTCTCAATTGACTATGGTTTTCTCAATGTATTTTCAACCCTATTTTTACGTTTTATAACTTTAAAAACTCGAAAGTAATCACGTAAAAGTATCTATCTCTTGGCACTCATATTCACTTTCCTTCCACGCACGGAGAAAATATTTTGGATCTGTTGGACCGATTCCAACCCATCAAACTCCCAAAAGTGATGTATCTGACAATATAATTCAATTTATGAAATGCATATTTTACGTTTAGTCTCTAGACGCATAAACAACTACAAAAAATCTCATATTTTCAATTTGTTTTTGAAAACAAAGAGATCATTTGTTTTAGGAGCTTTTAAAGTGTTTTTGGAATTGCGGTGGTTGTTTATAAAGATAAAAATGTTAATGGGTGATTTCTATTTTTATTCAAAATAATGAGTTGAAATTTGTAATTTTTTTCAAAAAGCAGGCCGCGTTTTTTTTAGCAAAAAAATAAACTTTTATTAATGTCTGGATCTTATAATTAAAATTTCTTAGCTAAAGTTAAAATATTAATAGAGAGTGTCCTTAAACACAAAACTTTACAAGCCACAAAAATAATTCATATGAAGAGTGCCTACACAAATTCTTCTATTGTTATATGGTCAATTCCATGGACGCATAAACATAGATGGACTCAGTTATTTACATAAAATTGTGAAGTCAAAATTATTTGAATAGGTCACATTCTGAGCACCTTCAACTGTTGTCACGTTTTGTTTTAAAATTTCCTATTCGCGAGTCGCTGAAAATATTACTCCGTATTTTATACTCTACAGGTGCTATCAAACCAAAATAACAATTTATTGGTTATATTAATATATTTAATTGTAATGCAAATATCAAGTGTGCACATAGTGTGCATTATCATTTAATAATAGCGTATAATAGATATCAATCAATTATTTTATATGTGGAAGCACTGAAAACTATTTATAAATGGCAACGGTTGTTTACATTTCTCTGTCTTATGGATCTACGTCAAACTTCAAATGCTGTTCCATGTTTGTTTACTTTTAACAGTAAATGAGGAAGAAGTTATTTTTCGATATTTTGGCTGTATTTTGAGTGATATTTGTGAAAAGTGAAATAAAATAAACGAAATATTTACATCCCGATCTCTCATTTCATTTGTAAGTACATACAATTTACATTACTTAAAATGAGGAAATGAGGAAGCGTGTTTGTTTACATTTTAATAGGCGTACCATTGGGTTTATTCATGTTCATTAATGTATTGAATAAGATATGAGTTCATGAAATTAGTAGACATTTATAAATTGTAAGTAGACATCATCTGAATAAAAAAGATCTGTTTAGTACCTTTTTAATTTAATATTTCTCATGGATACAAATAAATTAGTGAAATGAATAAAACTCATTTATTTTTCTATGTAGGTTTCCAAATAATATTGACGATCGAACTATTTGGGTAGCAAATTAAGGAGAAAACATTAAGATTTTTTATTGTAGCATTATTTTGATACTATTAAAAAATTAACTTGAATTCAACTATATTTAATTGTATTAATTTTAAAGCAAATAAAATTGTATTTTAATTTTTCTATAAAGACGTGATTTGTTAATAATTAAACTCTTGTTTTTTTAAATTCTTTGAACGTGTTTTTATACATTATTACTACTTCCAATTTTTAAAATCTGAATAATTACCCGCGAGTAAAAATTCAAGCACGCTTATGCTCATTGCGGAAGCATCACATTCTATCGAAGCTTCAAAACATTGTGTGTTAAAGGTATCTTATTGCTGTGTCGATCTATGTTTATACGTCCATGGTCAATTCCATATGAAGTTTGTCCTTCCAAGTACTCTTCTATATAATTGCCAGGTTTAAACCACAGATTCTTATATTGTTGCATCCATTCTGATTCGTTAATAACTTCATATATTTCTTATTGGTTTTCCTCAATCTTATTCTGCAAGTATTTGTGATAGACGGGTCTCTTTTCAATTACTGTATTATTCATTTCTTGATTTCATTGTCTTAATTCTTTGCTGGTTATTATTTTAACATTTTTCTAACTCTTCTGTTCGTTTTCTACTTTTTTCAGTCTCGTTCACACGATTTCCCATTGAATTATGCATAGATACCGTATTTGCATAATTTTATTTGAAGTCCATTTTCATACCTACTCTTTTGACACGTTGGCGCTATTTGAAGTTCTTTAAGCATCTTTTTAGATTTCACCAAAAGCTTTTTTCTTCTTAAATTAGGCCTTAATCCCACTCTTCGATCTTAACGCTGTAGTCCTATTTGTGACGTTCACTGAAGCTCCCTCGCCATCTTTAATCTGGTAGTGTGGAGCCAGTTGGTCTTAAACTCACTGCTAGTCGAGCTAGTCTCTCACTATCCGTTCGTGAAAAATGATATTTCCGTTCTTATTCGTGTTCTCTTCTTCTCCATCTTACCATTACATCTATTCCGCATTTTACAGATCTCTTACTTAGTTATGTGGTATTCTGTCTATTCTACATATTGTTACGTTTTTGAAGCGAAGCTTCTATACTGGCGTTGTATTACTTTTTTTCTCTTCGGTAAAATGCTGAGGCGAGCGTCACGGGTACAGTAAATTTACTGTTTGTATTTTGAGAACGATTTCCGAAGTGGAAATTGAAACGTCAATAAACATATTTTGATCTTTAATTGTGGCTTATTCCCAGTTAAGTAGCAATTAATTTAAAATGCCACAAGAAAATAGCTTCAGAACAATATAGTGAATCGATATCAAGATAATATTCTATGACGCTACCCGTTACGAGTGACGACTCCATATTGTGGCTCTAGTTCCGTGACGCTAGTCTTAACATTTTACTGTAGAGAAAAAAAAGTAATAGATAGATAGATAGATAGATAGATGGTTTATTGGTAACAAATTAATACAAAAGTATTTTTACAAGTCAAAGAAAATAAAATATATGTAAATATAGTTAATATTCGCTCCGTGCGTGACCATGGTAGGGGTACATTGAAACGATGCCAGCGTGCGTAGCGGCGAAATATGACAAAATTGGAATATTGGACAAAATATTTTTACGCATAAGTTTTATCAAAAATGTGTGCAAATACATGTTGCGTATTTAATTCTGCTAATAATAGCAAAAACTGTGAGTGTAGTTTTTATAGGTTCCCAAAGATTACATATAAATTAGAGAAAAGAAAAAGATGAATTCGTGCTATTAATATGAAAAAGTAAATATCACATAATTTCATTTTTATGCAATTGAAATAGGAACAATTTAAATAATTTACCTTGAATGATATTTCATAAGGCTTCAAGCTAACTGCAGATGACTTTAGCTTTTATATCATAACTTTTACTATTATTGTTTTTAATTATATGCTCTTTTTAGCAGTGTTTTAAATTATACTGTTGACAATTACAACAAATTAAAATCAGAAGTAAAATACTCATATATAAAAAAGGCATTCACTATAAGGTAACCCTTAATTTTTGCCTTAAACTGAAGAAGATTAAAGAGCTTTTATTCTAGCTGACACTAAGTTGTAGAATTTTATGGCTAAATACCTTGAACCATTTCTGGATCTCTCAAGACGGCTAAATTCTGGTATAAGATTATTGTTAAATCTGGTGGGATAATAATTGTGAAAATCTACATGCGCATTGTATTGGCTAAGATTTTGTTTAATGTGCAACAGACACTGCATAATGTATACACAAGGTAAAGTTAAAATGTTTAAAGCTCTAAAGGAGTTTCTACAGTCTGCTCTATAACAGAGCTGAGAGATAATACGAACACACTTTCTTTGTTGTGCAAACACTTTATCAATATGACAAGTGTGACCCCAGGAGAGAATAGCATATGTCAGATGAGAATGAAAATTACTATGATAAGCTGTTAAAATAGTTTCCCTGGAAGTCACTTGGGTGATAGCTTGCATAGAAAGTAGTGTCATCGGCAAATAAAACAGTGTTAACTGTCTCATTTTGAGAGTACACTAGATCATGAATATAGATAAGAAATAATACTGGACCCAAAACCGAGTCTTTGAGGGACACCAAACAACAGATATTGTTTTTGAGAATCACACTAGTTCAAGTGAACATATTGATCACGATTTGATAGATATGAATCAATTAGTTGAATAGCATCAATATGAAAATTATAATAAGGAAGTTTTCTAAGCAGAATACTATGTGTGACACAATCGAAAGCCTTAGTAAGATCTAAAAAACGATGCAAGAGTATCAAGATATTTTTCAAACCCTTCCAATATATTGCTAGTGAAATGATCAATAGCTAAAGTTGTTGTTTTATTTTTTCGGAATCCGTTCTGGTTTATGGCAAACAATTTATTGGATTCAAAATGTAGATTAATTTGATTTTTTTAAATCCGTTTATAAACTTTTGATAAGATAGGCAACAAAGAAATGGGTTGATAATTGTTATGATCATCAATAGAGCCTTTATTCTTAAACAGAGGTACTACCTTTGCAGTTTTGAAAACTTGAGGATAAGTATTACAAGATATTGATTGATTTAATAAAGTTGTTAGAGGTTGAACAATTATATCTTTAATTGTTTTAATAATTTTTGTGTTAAACCCATCAGGATCTTTGCTGTGACTTATTACTGAAAACTAAAACACGGGATATTTTTCTGTGGTATACACTTTAAATAGTCATCAAGAGTTAGCTGAGGAACCTCAAGTTCATTTATTACTCTCTCAGCAGTTGAGCAGAAGTGGCTATTAACTATCTGCATTGAGTTTAGAATTATCAATGAAGAAAATATTTTTATGTTTGTTACCATTAATAAGTTTTCACATAGCTTGTTGAGAGTTGCCAGAATTTTTATAAACCTATCATTTGCATTAATTTTTGCAAGCTTGGTAGCTTCCCTGTACTTCTAAGTTTGATAATGGTACTTCTAGGTGCAGCAATGGGATCGTTTTTATTTATTGCTGTAATAAATTGAAGTCTCACGTATTTTTCTCAAAGTGTAATTGAACTAGTTTACTTTTAAATTTTAAATTAATATCCAAATTATCATTGTATACAAAATTAAAGTTGCAATGTAGCAAAATCTGGTTCAGATTGAAGAGTCCTTCATCTGTGATAGGTCTATAACAAACTCTGGTTGCACAATTTGTGGATGAGTTAGCTATCTGAAAGGAAAGGAAAAAGGAAACGCCATTATAGCAGCTTCGCTTCAAAAATCAGTGTTAACATTGGTACTTAGTTGCATCTGAGTATATTTTTATAAATTCTTCTAGAAAACTGAGAGAAGCAGGTATCGATATTGATATTTTTTCTGCTATGACTAGCCCTGTAAAAATAGAGTTGTAATTTTCTGCCATAAAAAGTGTGCATTTCCAAATTTAGTATAATTTGTCGAAACATTGACCCCACTTTCACCGTTTCGTATATTAAGACGAAACAGACGAGTCGGTTCCTTAGGGAATTTATTTCACTACCGTGTTCTAATTACTAATTATAGCTCGCGCTAATAATATCGCGCGGAAAGAAGTAAACTTGATGATTCTCCGAAAGCGGAAAAATATTGCACAAGATTTATGATGAAAATAATGTGTTCAATATTTATAATTGCTGTGTAATTTAATTCCAATTTTTATGCTTTATTATTACATTAACAGGTGGCGTTAGGAGCGAACATAATAATTTATTGAATTTTTTTAATTAAAAAAAAAAATGAATTAATAATAAAATTTTAAAAATACAGAAAACAAAGAATGAATCTCGGCACTAGTCTACAGTGCCGTACAGTACTAGTTTTCTACTTTTTTTGTAAGGCATCGTATAATTAATATTAATTACTGTAGTTACTTTAAAAGTACCTATTTTTCAAAGTGTTATGTTACCTAAATTTAAAAAGTACCTATTTTTCAAAGTGTTATGTTACCTAAATTATTGTTTGTGATAATTAATTAGCAGAATGTTTTTAAAATTTTTTTATTTTATTATGACAGTTATTTACTGTCAAATTAAAGTTAACAAAAAGATTTGTTTTTGTCCATAAAAACATTTTCCTGGATGGCTACAACAGTCCCCTGGCTAATTGGCTCTGCCAAAGCCATAAAAAAAATACAACAGTCCCGTCTCACAGGTTTTCATAAAATTGTCCATTACTCAAAAATCTAGAGAAAAATTACCGACCAATCAGTCTGTTAAACCATCTTTATAAACTTTTCACGAGAGTAATCACCCACAAGATTAGACAAGAAATTAGACCTATATCAAAGTAGAGAACAAGCTGGATTCAGAGCAAACTTTGGAACCAACGATCACCTCCAAACAATAAAAACAACTCATCGAAAAATCTGTAGAATATAACAAGCCCTTAGTTTTAACATTCGTAGATTTTCACAAAGCATTCGAATCAGTAGAACTCGACAGTGTTATAGAAGCACTAAACGAGAGCCGCGTTGATAGCCGATATTCGAGGCTAATATGTAATATATATAAAAAATGCGACAAGCTCGATACAACTACACGCTAACAGCAACCAAATAAAAATCCAAAGAGGTAGCCGACAAGGTGATAAGTTGTCACTTAACTTTTCATATCGGCTCTAGAAAAAGCGATCAAAACCCTCGAATGGGGCGACAAAGGAATAAATGTTTACGGAGAGATGCTACACCACCTAAGCTACGCAGACGATATAGTCTTGATTGCAGACGATTTCGGACAAACAAAGAAAATGTTGGAAGAACTACAGTTGGACAGTACAGCCTGTCATAAAATTGGTTTAAAAATGAATATAACAAAAACAAAATAATGATGAACTTAATACCAAGTTCGTACCAAACACCTTGAAATACAACATGAAGAAATAGAACTGGTAGACAAATATATAGACAACTGAGTTGCTGAAACTAATAGAGAATGATAACATAAAAGTAGTAGCAAGACTTTTTAATTCAATATATAACACCGGAGTGATTCCTGCAGATTGGCTCAAATCCATCTTTATCGCAATACCTAAAAAACACAATGCGAGAAAATGCTCAGAATATCGATTAATTAGCCTAATGAACCACACTCTAAAAATTTTGCTCAGAATACTTCACAACAGAATTAGACGCAGATGCGAAGATCTTGAAGATACCCAATTTGGTTTTATAAATGCTATGGGAACCAGGGAAGCACTTTGTGCGCTTAACATCCTATTACAAAAATGACGTGGCCAAAGAAAAAATGTATTTGCATGTTTCGTGGACTTTGAAAAGGCATTCGACAAAGTACAGCATGTAAAATTAATACAAATACTGAAAAATATCGGAATAGATGACAAGGATATTCGTATCATTAAAAATTTGTACTGGAATCAAACTGCTATCGTAAAAATTGGAGATAACTACACAGGAGTCAGACAAGGTTGCATTTTGTCGCCAACGTTGTTCAATGTTTACTCGGATCAATTATTTAAAAAGACACTTGAGAGACAACCATATGGAATAAAAATCAACGGGGAACTACTTAATATGATTAGATATTCAGACGATACAGTAATTCTATCAGAAAATATTGGAGGTTTTCAAATTCTGCTTGATCGTATTCACGGGTTAGGAGAGGAAACGGGCATTAAAATAAACTCAAACAAAACCAAATTTTAGTGTTTAGTCGTGACCCACATCCCGATGCAAAGCTTCAATTACCGCAAATATCTATTGCAGAGACAGTTTCTTCTGACGATGAAGATGATTTTGAGCCACTTCGCAAACAGTGTAAACTATTATCAGATAGCGATAATGATTAAAAATGTAAATGTAAAACTGTATGGACCTATTATTTCCCATAGAATAGAATTAATCAAGTTTTGAATACGTTTTTTTAAGCTTTTGTATGAATTTCTTTCAGATATTCGAAGTAATTTATCATGTAGCTTATTTCTTGTAATTTCTGCAAACTTTTTTGTTTTTGTTTTGATTTTATATAATTTTAAAAGGCTACGGAACGTATCTCTACTTTTTTAAGGCAAATGTCTTTTTTGCAAATAATGTATTCATCGCATAAAACAAGACCTTACTGTATTTAATTTACCATTGTCCTTCATTTTGTTAACAAACATTCTCAACAATTATTAAAATTTGCTTAGGGACAGTTGTGTATAGAATATTTCCAAATCGTAGAGAAACACCCTTATACGTGTAAATTGCTAGTATTGTGTAATTTCCTTTCGAGTCCTTCGATGCTCCGTTTTATCGGTTTATCTATAGAATAACCTAATAACAAGGAATTTTTTATTATAAGCAATATTGTTAACTTTAATTTTTTATTAAAAAAAATTGTTTATTTCCAGCGGTAATACATACAGTTTACTCCACCACAACTGCAACAACTTCTCCCAAGATATAGCTCAATTTTTGTGCGGTACGTCGATACCCAAGTACATCTTAGACCTTCCCAACGAAGTACTCAACACCAGTTTGGGTCCCAGCTTTTTCGCTCTAGTGTCGCAGTTAGAAAACAGCGCTAGGCCCATCAGAGAGGAACAAACCAGTAGTATTAAAGAGACCAGTCCCGATTTCGAGCAGTTAAACTCCCAGATAGAGGAAGCAAGGTCAGGAGTGGCGAAAAAATGAGTACTTTGTTTTTATTTGTGAAAGTTGCTTCTTCCGATCACCTCGCTTAGAAAGAATTTCTATTGCCGAATGATTCTTATTTACATACATATCTGCTGGTTGTTATTTGCAAACTTTACGACTTACTGATATTTCTGTCGTTCAGATCAATATCTTGTGACAAAGATATAAATATCGTCAGATGAAGTGACTTTAGCTTTCTTTTTTAGATAAACCATCACTTTGAAGGTTTGTTATACACAGTATTTTTCAGTGGATCTTTATACAGTCCTTGAAAATACAAATATAACGTTTTGCTCAATAAGTCATTTACTTAAGTAATAAATAAAACAACTTGTAGTCTCATTTTAGGGTGATACTCTAATTCCAACGCTTCTTGAACAATTCGAGCATTCTTTCTACAAATTATTGCCATATTTCAAGACAATAATTATTACTAAAGATGACAGATGACAGTTAATACATTTCAAGATAACCAACTGAAATATTGACGTCATATCGTGAATGATTTACTAATATTTGGATCACTGAAAAAGTATTGTGTAACCAAAGTCTTAAAATTTAATTAATTTCGAATCAAATACGTCTTTGTAAATATCGAAGTTTCAATACAATGTTTAGAACATATAGGCAATAACTTTCTTTATTAAAATGCATGTAAATTGTTAATATTTGTTTAACATAATTAATTATGCAGTGTTTTATAAGTGAAAACAGGATATAGACCACAAAGAACAATAAGAACGACATTGAGCCGTTTTAAAGATGCGTTTAACTCAGAAAACCATGACATGTCGCACTAAATTAACATACCACAATAATATACTCTAGCAATATAACATTTTGGACATATTGCAACAAAATATCAACACAATTGACATACCGCTACAAAACTTTACAATACAGTAACTCCACAACAAAATAATCCCGCGGAAAAATATTGCAATTTGGTCTTTTACTAGACTATGTGGCAGCACTGAAGAAAAAATTGCGGCTAACGATGAAAAACTGTCTATAATATATGCATTCTCCAAAGAAGCTGAGTCTTAACAGAAATTCCGTTCTAATATTATATAAATTCGAATACATTACTAGAAAGAATAGGATCAACATTAAAAAATTCAAAAAATACATTTTCTTTTGAAAACTACTGCTTGAAAAATAACTTACCGCAACAAAATAACATTCAGCAAAAATAACATACCGCAACGAAATAACATTCCGCAAAAATAACATACCGCAAAAATAACATACCGCAATAAAGTAACATACCGCAATAAAGTAATATACCGCAATAAAGTAACATACCGCAAAAAAGAAAAAATCGTAACCTGGAGGCGACTACAATCGTACTCAGAAAACGTAATTAAACACAGAATGATCGGTTTGAATTTAAGTGGTACAAAATATACATTTTCCACATAGTTGTTACTAAATTGTTCTTTTTTAAGTTTTATTCTAAATATTAACAATCTACATGCTTTTGAATGTCCCGTATTTGTTGTTACTAATCTGCTTGAGTAAAGTACACCAGGATTTTGTTTGGCAATACCAAAAAAGTTCTTGTAATTGAACGTTTAGCTTCAAAACATCAATCGATGGTATAATAATGATAATTTTTGTTTCTATTAAACCCACCGAACTGTTTCCACAGTTATTGTAATCAGAAATAGCCCAAATTCTGTAATTTGAGTTATGTACAGAACAGTTTTGAGGTTAAGTCTGTGTAAATAATCCGAATTCTTCGTTATTTCTACTTTAGTTCGTTTTAAGTTCTTAAAAAGCATTTAATATTAGTATTAGTGTATATTTACTAAGAAAAGTACTTATTTTTTCTTCCCGCGTTAAAATATTTACATCTTTGTTTATACAACACATGCAGCTATCTTCATAAAAGGTGAAGTCACTCTAGTAGTGGTGTGGTTTTATGTGATTTATTCTCATTGTATAGATTTTGAAGCTAGACGTTTCAGTAGTTAACATTTGAAGGTACTAACAAAATGGTTTTTGAAATTTGTGACTTAGAATTAGTATTTTTATATTTGATAATTTTATAGAAATGTCATCCTTCTTAATTAGCGTAGACAGTTAAATTGTCGACATTTGACAGATAAAAATGAAAAATTATCAGTAAATTTCTAATTGTCGTTGCATTTCTAGCTATTTGTGATTATGTAGAGGATAACCTGACAGTATTATTGCATTGTAGTTGGGTTTACAAATCATATACTGGTATATCCTCTATTTATCAAACATTTTTTTACTCCATTAAAGTAATAATGAAAAATATTACTATTTCGTCAAACTTCGGACTCGGGACTATCCCAAAGTCTATTCATTTCCGTCTTTCTTGTATTTTGTATAAACATTAGTACAAGAAAAAGCGAATACAGTTAAAATAATGTAAATTAAACGCTTCCATTAGTATTAATCAGGTTTAGAAGTAGATTCGAAAGCATAAATTGTACAAAAGTAGATTATTGTCAATTAATAAATCTTGTTAATAGGATTTTACATTCATTATCTTCCCTAATTGGACCCACAGTCTTTGCTAGATCCACAAAATTGCTTTCTATACCGCAAAATATCATATCGCAAATAAAATATCATTCCATGACAAAAGAACATACTGCAACAGCATATTTGGCGACAAAATATTAGAGTCAAATAATTTAGAATGTTACTAGAAAGAGTTATTCGTTCTCAGGGAGTCAATTTAACATACATTTTACAATTCAACAGTCGTCATTTTGCAAAAACGCGCTAAAAATAAATTGAAATGAATTTGATCCGCCATATTGGATTCGTCATTTAAAATTTTTCAATTTTAACATCAAATTCGTAATCAACGTGGTAGTAAATTGTACAGTGCCCACATATTATGTTCAAATAATCCGAAATGTATGAAATTTGGCCCTCTATATTGATGGATTTTGACATCAAATTCGTAATCAGTGAGGTCAAACATTACATATTACCCACTTATGTCCAAATAACCCAAAATATATGAAATTTTGTTCACTATATTGAATCCGCCGTTTTGAATTTTTAAATTTTGACATCAAATTCGCAATCAGCAATGCCGAAAAGTTTACAGTACCTATTTATATTCAAATAATCCGAAATACGTGAAATTTGGCCCGGTATGTACATCCGCCATTTTGAATTTTTAAATTTTGACATCCAATTCGTAATCAGTATGGTCGAAAATTATACATTACAAACTTATGTCCATATAATCCAAAATATATGAAATTTGATTCTCTATATTGGATCCCCCATCAATTTTGACATCAAATTCATAATCAGCGAGGTCGAAAACTTAACAGTACCTATTTATGTCTAAATAACCCGAAATATGTGAAATTTGGCCTGTATATTGATACGCCATTTTGAATGTTTCAATTTTGACATTGAATTCGTGGTTAGCGTGTTCGAAAATTACACAGTACCCACTTAAGTCCATTACACAGTACCCACTTATCAAATGACCCGAAGTATATGAAATTTGGTCCACTATATTGGATCCGTCATTTTGAATTTTTCAATTTTGACATCAAATTCGTAATCGGCGAGGTCGAAAACTTTACAGTACCTATTTGTGGCCAAATAATTTGAAATATATGAAATTCGACCCGCTATATTGATCTGCCATTTTGAATTTTTAAATTTTGACATCCAATTCGTAATTAACGAGGTCGAAAATTACACATTACCCACTTCTGTCCAAATAATTCGAAATATATGAAATTTGGTCCACTATATTTGATCCGCCATGAATTTGACATCAAACTCGAAATCAGCGAGGTCGAAAACTTTACAGTACCTATTTATGTCCAAATAATCCGAAATATGAGAAATTTGGCCTGCCATAATGATCCGCCATGTTGAATTTTTCAATTTTGACATTAAATTCGTAATCAGCGTGATCAAAAATTACACAGTACCCAGTTAAGTCCAAATAATCCAAAATATATGAAATTTGGTCCGCCATTTTGAATTTTTTTTAATTTTACATCAAATTAGCGAGGTCCAAAAACTTTGTAGTACACATTTATGTCCAAATTAATGTATATTTAGACTTTTGGTCACTTTTTGATTAATTCGTCCCACTGTGAAACGCGACGAAATCGTAAAAAAAATTAGGAACAGACTGGATGATACAAACTCTTTCAAATTAAGTATTAACTGTCATATGATCCCATCTAAAATGATTTATACTTTAATATATCACTAACAAACAGGAGCCTTAGTTCGATCATCCAAAAGGTTATTTGAGGTTTATATTTCAGAAAATGCATTCTAAATGAGGTATTACCTCATTATAATTATAAACTATAACGACACTTACAAGTTCAGAAAGTATTTGGCCCAATATGTATGTTGCAGTGTTGCCAAAACAACACAAACAATAACTTATGTACAATCCACACAAATATAAACATTGTGTATGGATAACAATGTTTTATTTAAACCCTATTTATTTTATATGTGTAATATTTTTGAATGCACAGGCCTGACCTTTAAATTGCTTGTTTGTAAGTATACGGCCATTACATAATCTACATTTGAGTGAAAATGTTCATTAATTTACTTTTTAGATACAATTCTTTTCTGTTGGAACAACGAAGGAAGAGCATAAAGGATAAAATAGCCAAGAAAGAGAAAAAGCGGGAAAAGAAGCGCAAAAAGATACTGGAATCCGGCGGCGTTTTACCTCCAGAACTCAGAGACGTAAGTGCTTATCATATTTTAATTATTACATGACAGAAAAACGATAATTTATTACTATAAATATCTCCATTCCCAAAATTTGACGTAAACTGCACGTTGCACGATTTTGTCAGGTCTGTCAAGTGTCAACTGTCATTTGACACCGTTGGTAACATTGTTATACTAGGATGGTTTGATATTAATGTAGCTTAAGTGTGAAAACACGCGATTTTTGTCGTATTAAGGCATATATTTGTCAAAATTTGTCTTGACAGGTCACTTTTTTAACTTTATAAAGCAATTGTGGAATAGCTTTTCAAAATCTTGGTAGTCTTGAAATATGACTTTATCTTTCATTGCAAAACAACAACTTTTTTAGTTTGGGAACAGCAAATAATCACATGAGGCTAAATCTGGTGAATGTAGTGGATGGCAGATCAATTCCTATCTTAGTTGATGTAATTTTCCTTATAAAGCAGTTCACTAGAGTGTTACACTATCTTGTTTTACTTATCAAGTGTCAACTATCATTTGGCTCCGTTTATTTTAGCATTTTTTAATTAATTTGTTCAACATTTCGCCTTTTTCTCCGCTATACTTGACAAGAGGCTTTTCCAACTTGTTCATCTCTACTATAAAATAATTTTGGAAATCAAAATAGTGAAAATAATGTGGATTTTATGTTATAATTTCATTATTCGCTGCAAAACAACGATCTTTAAGTTTGGAAACAGAAAATTAATCACTTGAGGTTAAATTTGGCGAATGTGGTGAATAATAGATCAATTTCGGTTTTAATTAATGTAATTTTGCTTATGCAATCACCACTTTGTGGACGTATTTGTTTTCTTGTGCCCTTTTTCAAGTTATTAGTTTGAACAATACAGAAAATAATCACTTGAGGCTAAATCTTGAGGTTGATAAGCTTTCTCCACTGTTCCTTCCCTGGCGTGTAGGAATGGACCGATGTTTCATTAAGTATTATGGAAAAGTATCCGTCTTTTTCATATCCAGATAATAGGGTATCTCATGTACACGCTAAGTTGCTTATTTATTCTTTAGACTTCCAGTTTATATAAAGTTTAAAAAATGTTGATTTTTAGAACGTGACAATGGCCGATACAGAAGCAGTGAACGGACAAACTCAGCTGCCCTCAGATCAAGCGCTAGCAATGGAAGAAGAAGAAAGAAGAGAGGAGGAGGCCAAGAAGAAAGCCAGGGATCCACCAATAGTTTATAAAGACATAATCGATGTAAGTAAACAATATTTGGTTATTTTTGATGGATAAATTCATTAATTTTTGTACATACTTGTCTTGTTTGTTGCTTACCATTATGTCGAATGACTTCATTTCTTTTTCGTTCATATTTTATACACGCAACATTTGCGACCGTCGTTCATTTACTTTTTATGTCACTAAAATTCAAAAATCTTCATAAAATCCTCTTCTTCTCTCCTTAACTCCGCTAGAATCCAGTGATCTTTGCATGTTTACTTCATCAGCTATACAAAATTTTTCATTTTTCTGACTCTGAACATTCAATCATTCTTATATACCCTTAACATTACATTGTGGTCGATTAAACACTTCAACCATTAAGTATGTACTTCTTCACTCACTATTACTCAAAATTCTTCCAGTTCTCTTCTTACTTCTTTAACACCTCTGGCCTGCTACAAGCATCTGGTGTTGATTACTTTCTCATTAACTACCAACTAGAATTTTTTATTTTGGTGACTGCCTGACCATCCAAATGTCTTCCTACCCCCATTAACACCTTGCAAAACGTGCCAGCCATTGATTATTTATTTCTTCATCCACTAACACAAAAAAAATTAACACTATAAAATAATAATACAAGCTGTGATATTGTAATTTAACTATATATAAGCGGATAAGTAAATAATTAAAATTATTTTTTTCTAATGTTTCTTTTGCGATAAAATACAGTTGTGATATACAGAAATATTTTTCTTTTTAGGTAAAAGCAGAATTTGATGCTTTGGTTGCCTTAATCGACGGAAAGCTGACACCAGAAGAACAGAGAGCAACGGAAGAACTTCAGCAGTACATGATTGGAGATGAAGGAAGCTGGGCATTGAGTGATGGGTTTTTGGATTTCGTAGGTAAGTCCGTACTCTTCTTTTCATAATTCTCTTCGAGTAGGATTAACCAAAATACTTGTTCTTGGTCCATTGTACCGATATTGATGATTTTATATACTTTTTTCATTTAAATAATTGATGGATTCAACCGTTACTTGATGGAAATTCATTTTATATAACAATAAAACACTGAAAACTTTGTTTTCAAAACTTTGCCCAAAAACTTACATCGGTCAAACTGGTAGAAACTTTAATAAACGAATAGCAGAACATAAAAGGGCTTTCAAAAATAGAAAAAACAGATTCGACGTACGCACTTCACCTTCTAGATCATAATCATTCTTTTAATGACAAATTTAAAATTCTTCACATTCAAAATAAAGGCCTTAAGCTATCTTTGTCAGAATCTATGGAAATCAACAAATTAAAAAACACAGATATAATTCTGAATGACCAACTTGAGACAAACACTTCTCCCCTCCTTAACCTATTTTATTAGAGACTATAAATTTGTAAACCCAAGCCAAAAATAGATCACTTGAGAAAGGCAATCAGCCGAAACTGCTGTAGTGATAAGATTTAAAATAAATTTTGTGGAAGTTTGAAAACAAAGTTTTCAGTGTTTTATTTTTTCATTTAACTCAGTCACAATTGTCTAATAAATTTAGTAATTTTGGATTCGACTAGAAGTGATTGAAAGTTACTATATAACCAAGCAAACGTGAAGTTTGTTAACAAAATAAAACTGAATCAATTAAAACAATAAAACAAACAAAATCCACTATTCATAATTATTTTTTTTTGTTTTTCAAGTAAAGAATAAGTTTGTGTCAGTTATTAATAATGGGTGATAGGAAGATCCAAGCTCAGTGAATCGACTATAATTATATTTTTTTTATTATAGGACGATTACTCAACGATCCTCAATTGTCTGTTGATGTTAGAGTGAAGACAGTCAATGTTTTGGCTATGGCTGCCTTGAAAGATGATGTCATATTAGTTCTGCATCAGGATCGAAAGGACCACGTCTTGATGAACTACGCTTTTGAAATCGATAGATTGAGCATTCAAGAACAGGAGGCTATTGCCGTTTTTGTAAGTTTTTATCAAATTATTTTAATGTATTACGCCAAATTTAGTACTATTTTACTTTATCACATTGAAATATATCTATTTTTTTTAACCTATTCTCTATCCTCCCATTGTTGGATATAGGTCTCCCCCAGTTCTCTCCATCTTTCCCTATCTTGAGCTGTTCTCTGCCATGTGGCAGAGTTTGCTTGCTTGTTTCCTGATGTCATCTTTCCACCTTATTTGTGGTCTGCCTCTTAATCTCTTTGCATTGTATGGACGCCACTTTCCGATGGCATTGTTCCATCGTCCGTCTGGGAGACGTTCATTGTGTCCAGCCCATTTCCATTTCAGTTTTGTTGCTTGTTCTATCGCGTCTCTGTCTTTGTTCTGGTTCTGATCCACTGGTTACGTTTTCTATCTTTATCTATCTATATAATCTATTTCTATCTATGTTTTTCTCGTGGAAGAGGCTGAAACTCATCAGGATGATGATGATAACTTGTTTTGCAGGACGTACGAATTTTGTTTTATTCACCCTCACATATTTCAACAATACGTTAAGAAAAATTGAACATTATGAAGCCTTGATTGAGCGTGATCGTAGTTTTATCTTATTTGATACTTAATTTTCAGATGGCGAATATGTTTGAGAATTTGAGTTCTTCGGAATGGTTGCTGTACATTTCCGAATGGTCATACAACAACCAACAGACCAGCAACATCAGGGTGACGACCAAAGTAGCAGTCCATTCCCTTTTGTCGGACTCGCCAGTTTTGCAAGACCGAGGCTCAGCCATTATCCACAATCTTGCTTGCAAGGAGGTAAAAACTGTGGTCTGTATCATTTTTTAACCTATATTTAGTAATAGACCTATCCCGGAGTTTTACTATTTTACAATTCTGGTTTTTGTTAGTTAATTTTTTGCTATTCCTTTATTACAAAGTTTCCAAATCGTAACGGTATTTGCAATATCTTTATTTTTCCATTTAGTTATTGTACGGCCTTCGTATTTCTGGCCCATTCTGTAGGAGTGTCTATTGTATTGTACTGAAACGCAGTTATACGCGTATTGTTTGGTTATAGATGAGCATTGGATCTAAGACCGTGAATTTAAATCAAAAGAAGAAAGAAAACAGTAGTGTGAGCTCGTAGTTCGGCTTAGCAGCCTGTTAGGATCCGAAAGTCAGCCAAGGAAGTGTTAGCATCAATTTTTTGGATGCAAAATGTAGTGTTTCATACTTTTCCATATTATTATCGTAATATTTAGGACCAGCTGCATGTAAAATATAGCGGAAAAAATTGAAAAATCAATTGTCGTCAAGACAATTCATCCTATCATACAGTTTAAAAAACCGTCGCGAGAATGAGTGAATTGAAGTACGACTTTTTTGCAATATCCACCTTTTTCGCCAGATTTAGCTCTCTCTAACTTCTCACATTCGCAAATCTCAAAAAAATCAACAGTAGTCTATAAGGGTCTTGGGGAATCTGTAAATTACAATATTACTGGAACAAGTGTGACAACCTGTCAAAATGGATTTACTCATAGGATGAAAGTTGCTGATTGTCGGATGTTATTCGTCTCTTGTCGGGATGCAATTATACACTGCACTATTCTTTACCGATTTATTAAGAATACAAACACTATACACTTGGTTACATGAATTAGACAAAGAGGGGAAAGGGCGTAAATCATTTTGTTTTAAGGAATCGGAATTGATTTTTGTGAGAAAGCGGAAGCTATCTGAGTGTCAAAGAGGAGTGGTCTTTGACAACAAAAGTATTCGGTCATTTGGTAAGTTTCATGGGTGGGGGTAATTTAATTTAAAATATTACAAATATTTATTATTGGATTTTCCAACAGATATTTCAAGTCATAAAATTCTTTTTCTAAGTTATTAACTTATTTAATAAATATAATTCAACTCCGAGATGAGTCTATTAGTTGTATGGCCTTTCAATTTAACAATTAGTAAACGGGGGACACAGCTAGAACATTTTTTATTATAAAATCTGAAAAATACTTCTTTTGCGCAAAAAAAAAACAAAATAAAAATGCAATTTTATTAGAAATGAACAATTTTGTTACTTTGAATTTATTTGATTAATGACTGACATTATTTTATTGAAATTCTATCTAAAGAAAAAAAAATAAATTTAAGTCGCAGGGCTGCTTCGCTTTAGGTTACTTTTGTGTAGCTTTGAGTGTTTTGAACGACAATTACTCACCGTTAACTTAATTCAGTTTAACATCTCTATTGAGCACGAATATATTAAAATAGATATTTGAAATATCTTAAGAGGCGAGAGTAACATAAAAATTCTGCAAAATTAATTATTTAAGTGTAATAATTAATTACTTGTGGTACTCTGTGTTATGCAATTTCTATGTGTCGTGTTGAGTTTAGTGTGCATAAGGATCCTCAGTTGCTGATCCAGTGTATGCCGTACCAGTTTCTTAAATTCTCAGCGTCTCCAATCGCAAGATATCTCTAACCTTCCTCGACGTATTTTCAATCCTTCATGTCTAATATTGCAAAGGCCTCTTGGTAATCAATAAAGTATATAAAGACATTATTTCAGTGATTATAATTTTGTTGCAATAATAATTATATACGAAAAAAATACTTCTCGTGTTCGTAAGACTTGTTTGAAACCTATCTGAGTGTCTCCTGTCATCTTTTCATTGAAGAACCTTCAGGAATTACATACACTGTTATATGCAAAGTATTACTATGCTATGTATTATTTATAATCAAATTCCAAGTCGCTGAACCGCCGAAACTCCAGAAAGACTAGTCCAAATCTAGTTACCACATGTCTTAACCAAAATCTAGTGATTGAACTAGCAAGTTGTTGTTATTTTATCTTGTTTTGGGATCCTTGATATTACTATTTTAGTTAATTTGTTTAATGTGTGTACCGTCTAGATGTATTCCAATATAAAAATCGCACTATTAGTTGATTTTTTCAGTAACATGATTGTTCGACTGTACGATTTTTTCGTTTAATTCCAAAGTATAGGCTTCATAAATATCTATTTTGAGAACTTAGGTTCACTATATTGTAATGAAAACATTCTTAATTTAGAATAGAATTTTACTGAAATGAGTATATATTATGCGACTAAGAAAATTTATGTAAAAGTTCTTAAGGGCTTCTTATTGAGTCGTTCTGATGAGTACTGAAAGGACGAAATACGTATGAAAATGAAAATTCAACGTACTAAGCTAGAGAAAAGGCAATTTAAGTGCATTTGCAATTGATTAAGATCAAATTAGATGTTGGAATATCCTTGACGATAATATTTTGGTTCCTTTGATTAATCTGGTACCATTTAAATGTATTGCAGTATGGTAACTATAGTATTAATTGGTTTTTAAGTAAGGTTTATCGATTTTTTTGTTTAATTCATGTTTAATGCTTCGTTAAAAACATGTTTAATTTAGAACCTCATTTAAATTAGTGGACTATGCCAGTAAGAAAAGTTTTTATGTTAATAAAGTCTTGCAAATTCTTCGTTTTCACAAGCAAAATATCCTTGGGATAGCTTTTTATCGTTACCAAAAGTGTCTCCCAATCTGACGTATGTGGTCGCTTTGGTTGTCAATGGACAAACGATGTACCTATTGTTCATTTAAATTTTTTGTATTTAAATATTCTTTATACGTTCAATTGACATGTTTGGAGACTTTGCTCTATTTGGAGTTTGACTCTATTTCGACGGATTTGTCTGCTTTTGACGAATTTTTAAAACAAAATTTTTGCTTCAAATGTTGGTACCCACGCGTTGGGTAACAGATGTCAAAAGCGAGACCACTTCTTTCTCATGTAACGCCATCTGTCGCAGATTGAGTTATGTCTCATCAATTTCGAGGTTATTAAACTTTCCTGAAACTATCCCGATAAAATAATGTAATACACACGCAGATTGTTAAAAAATCCATATGCAGAATTATTATGTTAATCAATTTATCGGAAATTAAACGCTTTTTTAAATCTAACGACAAAAATCAGAAAAATAAGTAGAGAACTGTTCGATACTCTGACCCGGTCAGACATTTGACAAATTTTTTTCATAGGATAGGCAAACACCTACATTTTTCCTGCAAACAATTAGGTGCAGGATTTAATTCATGTAAATAAAGTAGTTATGAATTAAAAAAAAACTTAACATTGCCTCAAATTAACCTAGAACAGTTTTTTTAATGTGCGTTCAAATCCAGATTATTTTCCAAGGTAGCAAAAAAAAATCTTTTGTGAGTATGTAGCATATTGCGACACTCCTCAACACTATGTATCGACGTATTTTAATTTAGGTTGCAGATACGTTTTGGATTTCATACTACTACGATAAACTTTTGCTTTCTTTGCATGGATTATAGCCATGTAACCTATTTACTCATGTCGAAATGACCGCATTGGCCTGAGTGTCCATCAGTAGATGTTTATTAACCTAGGTAAAGAAATAATAAATAAGACTTACTCACAATCAATTTAATTTAACTATCAGACGACCGGTTTCGCTTTCTACAATATGCAAAGCATCCTCAGGTCTCGATACAAAGTTAAACAAATGCTGAAATAATAAAAACCCATATTATTGTAGAAAGCGAAAACCGGTCGTCTGATAGTTAAATTAAATTGATTGTGAGTAAGTCTTATTTATTATTTCTTTACCTATTTGAAATGGACTCACACAAGCAACACATTCATGGTTTATTAACCTTTTCATGAGCATAACATATCATCTACAAAGTTTTTAAACAGTCTGTCCATCTGGAATGTGGAATCACAATATCTCCAGCTAAAGGTTGAAACTGCTGATGAGAAAAATATTGTGTATCGTGACGAAATTAATTTTTATGGGCTTGGGAACTTATGTGAGTCAAGATATAGTTTTGAAGGATATTTATAAAGTCGTGTTTCTTCCTAGACAAGTGTATATCGCCTTCTTGCAAGAGCGTCGTAAAGCAGATGTTCACATAATGCCTAAGTCGATCTGTGAAAAAATCGTGACGAAATTAATTTTTATGGGCTTGGGAACTTATGTGAGTCAAGATATAGTTTTGAAGGATATTTATTAAAGTCGTGTTTCTTCCTAGACAAGTGCATATCGGCTTCTTGCAAGAGCGTCGTAAAGCAGATGTTCCCATAATGCCCAAGTCGATCTGTGAAAAAATCGTCAAAGAAGTAAAAATGTGTCTTCTAAAGGACTAAACTGTTTAAAAAAAAACTTGTCAAATTACCTGTTCGTGTCAGAGTCGCGCAAGTCGCTTATTTTTCTGAGCTAACATTGCACATAAGACACCAGATTAACAAATTTTTGGATGTCCTGGTGTACACCTAATTTAGTTGTTGAAGAACCGGTTTCTCTGTTTTGGCTTTATTTTCAGAAATTCAGAAATTTTCGGATACGACAACGATTTCCAAAAGGGAGTTTATCAAAGGTAGCTAACGTGCTTGTGTATTTATGTCTGTGTATTCGTTCAGCTCGAGCTATTCTCTAATAACAGCTTCAGCGCACACAAGTATATTTATATTCATCTCACCTTCATTTATTTACTAATATTCGTATTCGTAGCGTCTATTTTTCTTTGACGGTGTAGAAAATTTTTGAATTCCTCCTTTCCAACTATATAAAACATTTAATAGCGTTACGAAAGACCGAGATATAATCAATTAAAACCTTCCCTAACTTATTTTAAACTCATTTGAAAATCAGACAGGACAGAAGAATTAACTGGTTATACTGAGTTGCCCTTGGTTTACTTTTCTATTGTTGTAGTAGGTCGCATAACTGCTTATATTAGAAGCCACAGTTAGAATGCAGTGCAGACAGGATAGACAATGTAGACGATGTCTATAATAAGAGAGTTACATTGTCGAACTAAACAATAACATGAAGAAAAATACTATAAAAAAAGTAAAATATATCAAAGGCTATTGTCGATAGCTTAGCTATATTTATCAATTGTGAATAGCTTCTATTGTAAACACATTCTTTGGTAAATAAAGATCATTATAAAGTCATTAGAAGAAGCGAATCAGTTTTATCCCAATTGTCCACTCAAAGCAAACATGTCTCTTTGTCGATTTGACTTGCCATTAGACCAAAAACTCGATGGCAAAAAGTTTGAAAGCTCAGTTCTATTAAGCAGATGAAAGCACCTATTTCATGGAACCGTTGCCAGTAACTGTCTTGAATTTCAAACAGTTTTTCATCGCTCGCTATGCGCTATGCTGGTAGTGGCGCGGGACAGGGGGACCTTATCTTTGGTGCATAGCGTACATGCAACCAAGTCGAGGAATGGATAAAAATGCATGAGCTAGAACTGGCTGCGGGTAAGACTAAGGCTAGAATTCTCAAGGGACCAAGGAAAAGGAACGGGATAACATTCTTAAAAACGGTATCTTAAAGAACTGCGGGGAGATCCGCCGCATTGGGAGAGATTATGCCCAACATCGGAGGGCCCAAAACTGAGAGGAGGAGGGTCCTTCATTCGGTTTGTGCAATTCTGCAGTTTTAACAAAGGCTTACAGAAGCAGCTCACCCGAGCAGATAGGAAGAGTCTATTGAAGGTGGCGTATGCATACAGAAGTCTCTGCCGAGGTGTTAAGAGTTATCACCGGGTGTATTCGGATGCACATGCTAGTGAAGGAAAGAGGAAGAATATATGAGAGAACGTTTAAAAAAAAGAAGAAAGGGAGAGGTCCATAATGGTATGGCAAGAGGAATGGGACGAGATGAGAAGGGTGGCGCAGTGGACGAAGTTGTTGCATCCTAATCTGAGAAGATGGATGGATTGCGGGCATCGGCGTTTGGATTATTTCCTGACGCAGATGCTCATAGGACATGGTTACGTCAGGCCATATCTTTACAGAATTGGAAAGGCAATAAATGACAAATGCCTGTATTGTGAAATATTCGACACTGTCTCACACACTCTATTGGTATGCGATAGATGGATAGGTGCGATGAGCCTGCTTGAGAAGAGCTGGCAAGTTGGGTGCAATCACTCACGGAAACTGGTGGAGGAGATGCTTAGGTCGTCAGATATGTGGAGAGCAGTTCAGAGATATGTGAGGAGAACATTGGAAAGAAAGGAACAAGAAGAAAGGCGACCCGAAGGGAGGCAGAGTGCCCATGACCAAAGCAAGAAAATAAAGCAGAATGGGAAGGGGTGGGATTGAACATGAACAGGGAGGAATAGAGGGAGAGAATAATTCCGTCCTAGTTCTATTCTCTAATTCCTCTATTCCAAAGATTTCCTCGGTTTGTTCTTCTTCATGCTCGAGGCGAAACTGGTTTTGTGGCATGGGCCGAATTAACTTTCTTGTCCAAGAAGGGAATCGCTGATTACCACGATGAAATGAACGGGGATCTATATGAAGATTTGTTTGAGAAGACTTTAACTCCAAACTTGCCGAAAGACAAAGAAAACGTTGTCGTTTTGAATAACGCGTCATACCACTCCCTGTGGCTTCTACTATATATGTACATAGTTTTATAGTAGACTCGGAATTCGGCTAGATAATTTAAATCGATAATTATAAAATTCAGTTTGGCATCATTGTGTGAAGAACAAGTATTCTCTGATATCAACAGGGCAGTATTATGCTTTAAAATTCTAAATTACATAAGTTATTTTCTTATCAATGTTGCTCCAATTAAAATAAAAAAGTTATGATTTTAGATAGACAAGCATGTATATTTACATTTTCCCTGTTACATCAAAATTGAAAATTTAGAAAGTCATATATGTAGCCTGTGCGATAAGTTCTTAGCCTCACCGCCAGATGGCGCCAATATCTCAAGAGAAATCTACTATTGTGTAATACATTCTTATAGACGCCTAATGTCAAAATTTTAGCCGAATTGAACTCATAGTTTTGTTTTTACCGCGTGTGAAAGCGGACGGATCCGCGGATTTTAGAAAAATGGAAAAAGAGCAATATCGGTCGGTGATGAAAGGTAAATCGCACAGCGAAATCAAAGAACGCTTTGATGCTGCTTCTCGAAACTTTTGTAACACGTTAGATCATTTAAATTACTGCCGTATTCTACTGTAAGATATTGAAAATATTGTTCCTTTCTTATAGGGTCAATCCATGCCAAGTGGTCCAAAGGGGGATGCTTGACTATTTTTAATATTTTAAATTTTTCTACCAATTAAACTTCGGTTTATAGAGTATACAAAATTGCATTAATTTTATTTTTTTTTTAATTTATTTTGCCGGATGGCGGTCATTTTTGTTTCATCGGTGGGTCATTTTTACTGAAACATGGCTTCACTCTTTTAGCCAATATTTTCACTTAGGTTTTATCCTAAAACAATAAATCAAAAACCAAACTGTTTGGAAAAGTATGCTCTAAAAAATGGTCTATAGCATTATTTAATTACAAACTACCCTTAATGCCTTAAATTAACCTCAAAGTTTGAAAAGGTAAACTGATAAAATTCCGTTTTCAGCATTTTTTTAACAACATAAGGCAAGCTGATAATGGTTTGTAATTTTTTTCTGGAAAAGACATACATACATACTTTAAATGAAAAAAGTTTGAGCTTTGAAACTTAAGTCAATTTTTTCAAAAAAAATCTCAAAAATGTAATTTTTTGTAAAATTTCAAAGTTTGAGCCCTTATATCTCTGATGGGCAAGCAAGTAAAAATTTGAAATTTGGCTGAATGTTAGTTCCTAATGAGTAGAATAAGGGTAAAAATTTGAAGTTGTAGACTTAAGGCATATAGGAGTTACAGGCCTGAGAAAATGGCAAAAAATCATTAATTTGAGCGCTTGCGGTAGAGTAATTAAAATTCAAATAAACTGTCTAATGAAATAAAAATTAATGTATTTTCACCAAATTTCACAATAAATACAAATTTGTGCTACATTATAGAAATATTAACCTTCAGTTAGAATTTTGACAGTTCAGAAGTTGGGATATTTCATCGCATAAATCTTGAGATATGTTATGATTTCGTCCAGTTGCTGTTTTTAGTTCTGAGGGTGTGATTTTCTTTAAGATTTTATGAAAAGGCACCCAAGCTTCATCATGAGCACTTAACTTAAATGATGTTCTGGGTCCAGAAGGTTCAAAAAAGTGCACATAGAAGTCATGATGTTCAATGCTGACAGTTTTTATTACCCCTAGCCACCACTTTCCATCATACACATAGGCTATTACATCATTTTCACTTAGGGAAATGGAGATAGCACTTGTTGTGAAAAATTCTAAATATTTAGTTGCCTGGATGTTTTTAAAACATTTGACTTTATTTTCTGAGATTGGTACGATTCGATGAAAAGAAGGCGTGCCAGGAATTTTCAAACAAGTTTTAAATCTCTCTTCAAGTTGTGATTCATGTTGTAGGATTTCTTCACTTTCAACATAATAATACTGAATACCGTTTAAATTCTGTGAACAGAAATCAAACATATCTTTTGTGGTTAAAATTTGATTCTTAGAAGTTGATTGTAAACTGGTTTTAGTAACTTCTCTTTTTGTTGTACCGCCGATACCATAGCATGTATTTTTTCCGTGGGCTATTGTCAAAAAAGTGCCATTCCGCCTGTACACCAAAATCTTGCTCATAATGACAGATATTCAGGAAATTTTTTTATTTTTATATTAGTTATTGGCACCATCAGTAAAATAAATTACTCTTTTAACAGCTGGAGCAATAGCTTTTAAGTCTTCAATGAAATATTTCTGAAAACAGTGAACCACGGCAGTGTTATGTTGTTGATAGTTACTTATGATGCATAGAAGATATTTTTGTTTGTGGAATGGCTTTCCTTCGATGCGCACAGACACACAGTCTTTTTTTCAGGGCAAATCCTGCTGTTTTCTTTAAATGAAGGTTAATATTTCTATAATGTAGTATAAATTTGTATTTATTGTGAAATTTGGTGAAAATACATTAATTTTTATTTCATTAGACAGTTTATTTGAATTTTAATTACTCTACCGCAAACGCTCAAATTAATGATTTTTGCCATTTTCTCAGGCCTGTAACTCCTATATGCCTTAAGTCTACAACTTCAAATTTTTACCCCTTATTCTACTCATTAGGAACTAACATTCAGCCAAATTTCAAATTTTTTACTTGCTTGCCCATCAGAGATATAAGGGCTCAAACTTTGAAATTTTTCAAAAAATTACATTTTTGAGATTTTTTTTGAAAAAATTGACTTAAGTCTCAAAGCTCAAACTTTTTCATTTAAAGTATGTATGTATGTCTTTTCCAGAAAAAAATTACAAACCATTATCAGCTTGCCTTATGTTGTTAAAAAATGCTGAAAACGGAATTTTATCAGTTTACCTTTTCAAACTTTGAGGTTAATTTAAGGCATTAAGGGTAGTTTGTAATTAAATAATGCTATGGACCATTTTTTTAGAGCATACTTTTCCAAACAGTTTGGTTTTTGATTTATAGTTTTAGGATAAACCTAAGTGAAAATATTGGCTAAAAGTGAAGCCATGTTTTCCGTGAAAATGACCGACCGATGAAACAAAATGGCCGCCATCGGCAAAATAAATTAAAAAAAAATAAAATTAATGCAATTTTGTATACTCTATAAACCGAAGTTTAATTGGTAGAAAAATAAAAAATATTAAAAATAGTCAAGCATCCCCCTTTGGACCACTTGGCATGGATTGACCCTATAAGAAAGGAACAATATTTTCAATATCTTACAGTAGAATACGACAGTAATTTAAATTATCTAACGTGTTACAAAAGCTTCGAGAAGCAGCATCAAAGCGTTCTTTGATTTCACTGTGCGATTTCCCTTCCATCACCGACCAATTTTTTTTTTCCATTTTTCTAAAATCCGCGGATACGTCCAATTCACACGCGGTTAAAAACAAAACTATGAGTTCAATTTGGCTAAAATTTTGACATTAGGCGTCTATAAGAATGTATTACACAATAGTAGATTTTCTCTTGAGATATTGGCGCCATCTGGCGGTGAGGCTAAGAACAGTTTGGTTTTTGATTTATTGTTTTAGAATAAACCCAAGTGAAAATATTGGCTAAAGAGTGAAGCCATGTTTTCCGTGAAAATGACCGACACGGTGAAACAAAAAATGGCCGCCATCGGCAAAAATAAATTAAAAAAAAAATAAAAATTAATGCAATTTTGTATACTCTATAAACCGAAGTTTAATTGGTAGAAAAATAAAAAATTAAATTAAAAATAGTCAAGCAACCAACTGAATTTATATTGAACCACTTCGTATGGATTGACCCTATAGTGTAGTTACAAAAGTACAAAATATTAAAATAACGAAAGAGTTTTTTGTTAGGTTAGGTTCGGCGACAGTTTCTTTCGAACGATGATAGTTGCTAAAACGTTTTTTTTTTTTAGAAGTGAAGCCTCTTGAAAACATAAAACACTTGTTTCTAGATCATCTTAACGCAAAACCTTAGAGCTAATACTCATTTTCCGACTTTTACCATGTATTTGAGCAGTTCGCGAACTGTGTGTTGAATTATGATAACCAATTAATGTCATACTCATCATTTTGTTACGTGAGCAGATAAAAAAGCTATTAACACTAAGCCTCAGTTTGTGCCTTTATCGTTTAGAATGAATTTATAGTTTTTAGAGAATATTTTACGTATTATATAAGGAGAAATGATTGAAAAATCTTCATTTATTTACATAATTGGGCACAGTTATTAACAGGGGAATCTATCGGGTCAATTGTAGGTGACTTTTAAACCTCAGTATTAGTAATACAACAGTAATTCGTTTAAACTCAATATTTCTGTAGTAGTATAAACCAAACCCCGTTTATTACAACCGAATTTTTTAAACACTACAACAAAATCTGTCCCTTTTAGGTGTTCGATGACGTGGCCGTCGAGCTCACCATGGCTCTGCTGCAGTATTTCAACTCCAAACCGCCAGAGGAGCAACTCTTCAGGTGCTTGAAGGCGCTAGCTAAGTTCGTCCAAGTGTCCACGCAAGAAGTGCCCCAACTTATCCAGATGATCGGTCCCGATCCAAGAAGTTTTAAGGGTACCAGCGAAAGAATCGATGTTCTAGTTGACCAAATCGCCGCAAAGTTGCGGTAGATGTTTTGTTTGCTCCGTTTTATTTATTTATTTATTTCAAAGTTTATTATTAATGTTAACGCAGTGTCACGGGTGCTGGATAAGGTCTATTATTCAAATTAATGGATGAAACAAAAGGCAATAGCGGGATAAGATGGTCAAAAGTACCCCGCACAGATCAGCAGCGCGAATTGTGATTTTAATAAAGCATATACAAACATTACTTCATACAAATTCTTAGCTTCCTAGTGGCCACAGAACCTCTTAAATCTAAAAAGAGGCTTTTTTCGACTTAATTTTTTTCAGGGCGCAATATTGCTTTAAAAAATCTGAAAAAGTTTATGAAGATGTATCTTTTGGATACAAAATAGCCTGATTTTTTTAAAAATTTTATATTGAAAATTGAGTCTAGGAAAAAATCATTGAATATGTGGAAGAAAAAAATGATGAAAAATGTTCTATTATCAACTTAGTTTTTAAAGTTATGTGCAATTAAATGAGTAAAAAACGGGGTTTTCTTTATTTTTCGATGCTTTCCGCTCAGAAATTAAAAATTCTACCTTGACCATTCAAAATAACAAAAAGAAAAATACATAAAAAATTACTATTTAAAAGTTAGCCAAAAACTATTAACATAACCTAAGAAATTATTGAAAATTTCAATGATTTTTCCTAGACTCAATTTTCGATATAAAAAGTTGAAAAAAAACAGGCAATTTTGTATTCGAAAAATACATCTTTATGAATTTTTTCAGATTTTTAAAAGTAAAATTGCGTCCAGAAAAAATAAGTCAAAAAAAGCGTCGAAAAAAGAGGTTCTGTGGCCTCTGGGAAGCTAAAAATTTGTATGAAGTCATGTTTTTATATGCCTTATTGAAAGTGAAAAAATATGCGCAAAATCGGACTAAGTGCAAAAGCATGCGAGAGGCCTATGTTCAGCAGTGGACGTTAGAGGCTAGTGCTGGGCACTTTTGACATTCTTATCCCGCTATAGCCTTTCATCGTCCAAAATGTGTCTCATAAGTTGATTCTGACTAAAAGTTTTTGTTATTATCTACTAAAACTCATATTTGTGTAATCATACAACGTTTTCTGGGTCTATAGACAGTTGTGAAGATTCATTTCTTCTTTACGTTTCGTGTATAGCTGCTGCATATGATATCAAACATTAGTCTTAACTTTTAATTGTTCACTTATATGGATAATCAGACATATAACAAGGTCAACATACACCTTTAAAAAGAAACAATGTAATTTTGGACGTATAATATTCTTGAAGCTTGTGCGACACTTTTGGTTACAGATTTAACAAAATATCTGTTTATCTCTATGCTTTTGTGGAAATTGTATCGGTGTTTCTGTACATTTTAAAGATATATACGTGGGCATTCTTAGAAGGACTATTAAGTTACATTCGTCTCATTTCTTATATACGTGGGCATTCTTAGAAGGACTATTAAGTTACATTCGTCTCATTTCTTATAGGCACTTCTCTATCTTCTACATCAAAGACTGATGACGTTGCACTACCACAAATTAAAGAATCCCACGAAAATATGTACAATATTGCAAGAAATTAAAATTATCAATTATCACATCAAGAAAAAGATACAATTAATTCTCCATATTAGTACAGACCTTCCACGATATTTTGTTTTATTTAGTTTTTGATCCTCAACAATCCGTAACAGCCACAATTATTTGGTGTAAATCCCAACGAAAATTATTAATACTGTTCGAGTTTATTTTATATATTTACTAAGTAAAAGTTGTTCTTAATCTTTTTGCAAGATATTTTGTTTTTTTTTTATGCAATTTTAAATAGTTCTCATAAGTTTTAAAGGAACTGTGGTTGCAGTTCGGTCTGTTTAGGATCATATAACCTCAAAATATTTCGCCGTGACGTCATACCAAGATAACGCACGGTACCTATCGTTATTAAGTGCCCTTGAATTTTGTGGTGACTGTAATTTAGAAAACAAATATATATCTGTGATTTGTCTTATCAATTTGTCATTAAAAATAACAATTAACGGCTATAGATAAATTTGCTTTGGGAATTTGTTGCATTTGACTCCTCTCTAGTAGTTGTCGCTCTTTTTTTAATACGGTTATGTTTTTGGAAATTTTTGGTATGTTGTTTTTTACCTTTTTACAGGAGAATCGTTTTGTAATCAGTTATATCTAATAAAGCCAATGATATTATATGTTTTTTTATTTATTGTGTAGTTAACAGAACGAGGAAATCTAATAAAAGAACAAACTGGCGAGTATATTGTAAAAAACTATAAAATAAATTGTCATAACTCATAACACACTGTCATAACTACAGTTAGTTAAAAATGTGTCATATACTTGACATTTTAGTAGTGGCATTACATGACTCTTGGACGTTGACAGATGGGACATCATGGGACGTTAGTCACTTACGTACAGAGTTACGTTATGTAGGATATCAAATACATGTTTTTAATTAGTGAAATAAAGGAACATAAAATACATTTGAATACAGTTAAGAAGCAATAAGCAGTAATACAGTCAAGAAGCGTTTACAGTAGTAAAAAGAGAAATGAAGTCTGATAAAATTTTGACACATATTGACCCAAGTTTACCTACTTGCAACTTATGCGAGTCCATATGCAGTCGAAGTAGCATTATCTCACATATATCCGGATGGATCTGAGAGGCAAATTCAATTTGCTTCACAAACACTTACAAACGTACAACAAAAATATGAGCAAATAGATAAGGAAGCATATGCCATAATTTTTGATATTAAAAAATTTTACTATTATCTATTTGGTAAAGAGTTTACACTCTATGTGGATAATCAATCTGTAGTTCAAATATTCTCTCCATCTAAAAATTTACCTACACTACAACTAGAATGTAAAATTATGCACTATTTCTTCAAAGTTTTAATTACACAATTAAGTATAAAAATACAAAAAGACCATGCAAATGCTAATGCAATGCCAAGATTACCTCTTGATACTACTTCTGAATTCGATTACGACGTGGGAGATCAGTTTGAAATCAGTCAAATAGAAACTTTACCTGTTACTTTTAAAGAATTAAGTTTTGTAACTACAAGAGAGCCCACACTACAAAAATTTTACAATGCTCTAGGAACTAAAAAACTGATCGATGTTAGGGATAGATTGAATGTCCCACAGATAGAATTTTCTTTACAAGAAAATTGTATTTTTCGGTAACAAATGGCAGTAATTCCAACTAACCTACGTAAAAAAGGTATAAGTGAATTACATACCTACTACTCATTTTTGCATAGTCAAGATGAAGATGCTTGCAAGAGGATACTGCTGGTACCCAGGAATTTCGAAAGATATAGAAGATATATGTAAAAATTATACGTGTATAATATGTAAAAAAACAGACTGCAACAAAATCAGGAATAAAATAGAAAAAACAGTAGTACACCAATGGGAGACACCTAGAACCCCTTTTGAAAGAGTTCACGTAGATTTTGCAGGACATTTCATGAATTCATACTATTTTATTCTAGTGGATGCCTATACTAGATGGCCAGAAATACATATGGTTAAAGATTTGACAAGCAAAACTATCATACACTCACTAAGGAAAATTTTTTGTACATTTTAAATTCCAAATTGTTTAGTTTCAGATAATGCCAAATGTTTACTAGTTACGAATTTAAACAATTTATACAGCAAAATGAAATCTTTAACAAATTCAGTGCACCATACCATCCAGCTATAAATAGAACGGCAGAGAGGTACTGTAACGGAGATATTTTGCCTACCACAGGGGGCATTAATATAAGGGGTAGAAAATTGAGGGAAGAAACTATTGGGGGTGGAGATTAAGGCAAGCAAAATAATCGCTACTTGTGCGAACGGCACTCAGGGTTTGGTAGGAGAGCTGGGGTCGTGGGTAAGTAAAAGATAAGGGGGGTGGAATGGGGCAACTACAAAAAAAGAAATAAAGGGGCCATTAATCTCTTGGGACAAACAAAATAAAAATAAACAGGAAACACCTCAAGGAATTTAATATAGGGCGCCGCTTGAGGTTCCTAATTATGCCTATTACAACCACTAGATGTAACTAGGGGAATAATTATAAAATATCAAAAACATATCTTTTTCAAATAAATCTCAAAAAAGGGTTAGCTCAAAACAATAAATAAAATGTTAAGAAAACAAAATTTAACATTTATTTTTGTGTCACCACAAACAGTTACAACATGGAGAAATACAATAATACAAAAAACTTACGTGAGTCATCCGCTTACAAACTCCAGGAGTTGGAGATACTACATAAAACTTACAACCGCATTACAATTTTTAAATGTTAACGAAAGCAATTATTGTTCTAAAAAAATATCTGTCTTTACTTTGAAATTAAACAAACAATAAACAGTTACCTGGATTCACATATTTTAACTTAACAAAAAAAACTTGTTACATCTCTGGAGTGGAGCTGCTAGGACGAAACTCTGGAACAAGGGGAAACCAATTCCATACTGGAACGAAGATCTGACGTAGACGGGGTTGTATTAAGCAGGCAAACGACCAAAAAAATCTGGTGGGACATCCTATATAGGTCTTCAAAATTGTACCATGCTCTGGTACATCACACAAATTATTTTTTCTACTGCCACATATTTCCACTAAAAGGGCCAAAACAGAAGAACACAAATTCGACAGAAAATTTGTGGATCCATACTTGCGATTCACACAGCGAACCAAGTAATAATCTATTTGGTCACACCTGACTCCACCGGCAACCCAAGTACGAATGACGAATTTAAAAATTCGTTCATATAAATTGAAAACAGAACAAAAGCTGACATAACAAAATACAACGAAATTAAAACGTAAAAGATTTCACTTCTACAACGTATAAAAATTATAATGCTACTTCGAATAAAACATTAAAAGGAATTGCCGAAAAAGTTAAAATAATAAACAACTCTAAAATGGTTTATTTTAACTTGGCCAACCTAACAAAGAATTTAAAAGATATTTGGGTTTTAATACGTACGAAATATTCTTAGATTTATCAAACATATATAAGGGGATTTTAATATTTTACATATACGAGGGGATCTCAATATAAAATGTACAAACATTCAAACAAATGCTACCTGCATAAAAAGGAGATAATAATGAAAGGGAGCTACAGCTCAACCAATTCTTACTATAATAAATTACAGTTTACATATTACAACTGGTGTCAGTCCTTCAAATATGATGTTTGGAAGAGAGATCCGAACACGATTAGATTAATTGAAACCGTTTTACAAAACACCTGTACAAAATCAAAACCATCTCAAGGTAAGAAACTTAGAGGTGGGAGAGAGTAGACTCGTGATTACATACATGCTGATAAATGGGAATTTGATCAGATCTAAAGGGTAAAATATACCTGTATACAACCGACACATTTTAACCTGGGTAATAATCCAATTGTTACAAATATTTGGCGTCAAATGAAGCAGCACCATGTTCTAGTTCAGTTCAAGATACAGATGTACATGATTCAAATAATAGTTGAACTTGTTTGCCACAACTACTAGATACTACAAATACTACTACGAAGGTCCCAACGGGTGATAAAACAGCCTGTCACGTTGGACTTGAAAGTACCACAGAAGTACTATGTTTTGGTTTTAATTTATTAACCTTACAAGTTTAGCATTTCCTTACGAGGAGGAGAGTTGTCAAATATTTGACATTTTAGTAGTTTCATGAGATTACACTTAAAGATTAAAAGATGTCATGGGACGTTACTCACTTCTTTACTTACGGAGTTACGTTATGTAGGATACCACACATATGTTTTTAATTAGTGAAATAAAGGAACACAAAATACAATCAACACCTTTTTCATTACAGTACACGTACATCTACAACAGAATGTGTACATCAATTTAAATCCAGAATTAGGACGTAATTTAAAGAGTCAAAATAAGTAAGAGTACTAAATTTTAAAAGTCGACGATTTGTTATTAAGAAAACAGAAAAAGAGAGACAGAAGACCGTCAATATTCACACCTCTATCCGAGAATCAAAATTGTTAGTGCATATATATTTATGATATTAAAAAGTCGCTTATAATTCTTAAATACTTAAGGTTGTGAATGAGTAGATCTTTAAGTCAAAGTAGTATTCCAAAAAATATTTAGAAGTGTAAAATCACTTCCTTTCCGACGATATTTATAGTTTTGCACCAGAAAGTAAAAAAGAACAGTAAATCAAATGTTAAGCACTAGAAAATGCATCGAAAGTTTTAAATTAAATCAAAAGGTCAAAGCAGGAGATCAGTCTATCCAGAAAGTAAGAGATTGTGCCATCAAATATCTAGGTCTCAGTTAAAACTGGAAATATTTAAAGATTTGTATCAGAAATACAAAAGGATGGGTCCATTAAATATTTAAGACTTGAAAAATGACTTAAAATCCAGCAATATGCAAAGTTTTGACCATGTTCGGGCTTCCAGGGCGATGGATGACAGCAAAATTATTTGAACAGTGGATGATACATTTTGTCAAACATACTAATCGTACAAAGGAATGTCCCATTTTACTAATCATGTATAACCATGAGAGCCATGTTTCTTTAGCATCTATTATATTTGCAAAAGAAAATAATATAATCTTGTTGACTTTGCCTCCACATACTTGTCATCGCCTTCAGCCACTAGATAAAGCTGTATTTGGTCCTCTGAAGAAATATTACTCACATAGTTGTCAAAATTGGTTATTGAAAAATCCTGGAAAGAGAATAACAATTTACGAGATTTACTTATCCACTTGCTTTCTGTCCTAAAAAGGTGATATCAGCTTTTAAAGTTACTGGGGCATTTCCATTTAATGATAACATTTTTAATGACGACGATTTTATGACATCAACCGTAACATACATGCCAAACACACATCAAGAAGAACAACAACCAAATAATTCAAATGTTAGCGATATTCTACAAATGAACATTCAGTTACCTTCAACATCAACTTGTCCAGATAAAATACCAGAAACATCCATCGGAAATAACACCTGAAAATAAAACTGTTGTTATGAAGCGATGGCAACTTCCAAGGACACACCCAAAAATCGATTTATTTCCCCTGTATTACTGCAACCATACCCTAAAGCTACTTTATTGCCATTAAAAAAACAAAGGAAAAAGAAGACTACTGAAATTTTAACTGATACACTAATTTATAAAAGAATAGAAGCAAAAAGCAGCATAACAGCAGAAAGAATATTAAGGCAAAGTAGAGTGAAGAGAGCTAATACAATAGTAAACAGAAAAATTGATAGTTCAAATAAGTCGAATAGAAGTAATGCCAAGAAAAATAAAAGCATACCCAGTGTTGACAGTAACAGTGACATCGAATTGTCTGTTGTAGATTCCGACGATGTTAGTTTATTTTCAGAAGTAGATTAAATTTCCGACGAAGACATATCCTCACGAATGGTGGAAGTGAATTCATTTGTTCTCGTGGGGTTTCAAACAAGGAAAACTTCAAAATTTCATGTTGCGCAAGTTACAGAAGTTTTTCTTCTGGTCAAGAATACAATGTAAATTTTCTAAGGCGTCACGGAATACAGTTTTCATTTTCTACAGTTACAGATTCTGCCACAATTACAAAAGAAGATGTTGAACTCATTTTAACCCAACCAACGTGCTGGAGCAACACAACGAACAGCAAATTTGTTTACTTTTAAGCGGATTTATCATCTTATGATATTTGTTAAAGATTAATATTAAGAATCTACAGTTAAAATATTTCCAATTATTAATGAAACACGCTGTATACTTACATATTTTATTTTATTTTTATTTAATTTATCTCTGAAAAAAAAAACAATCTTAGGCTGAATCTAACCCTGTCTGTGCTCTAATTTATTTTATTAAGGTACCACCTGTTGCAGACCGCGAGTCCGGCACTGTCCCGTCTACCTGTTACCGTCGACCGAGTCACGTAAAGGTGCAAATAGTAATAATAAATGCAAACGTACCTCGGTGTGACCAGCATAACTTTCATTGCTGAAATCGTAATCCTAAAACCTCCACCCAGTCGCTTGAAGATTCCTAGCAGTACCGTTTTATCTGTGGTGGTACAGTGAACCGTCTTTAAACTGATCAGAATTTTTCATAAGTGTTCAATAATCGTGTATATATTTCATCAAATATGTGGAACAGGAAATATGGTACTTAATGATCCAGCACCGACCTGCAGAAAACATGAAAACCGAAGATATTGTGTTTATTGGTGATTTTAACGTCAGATGAAGACAGGTACTGCCGTATTTTCCAGGATATAAGGTTGGATGAGTTTCTATACGCACAAGCCTCTATAAAAGTGGATATTTTAGTGAACTTCCTATCGTGGTCAGTTTAAATAAGATCAGTGACATTAAAGTTCATGTAGCTATAAATAAACTTATTGAACAAATTTGTAAATATTTCTTAGTGATTTCAGTGTTAAATTAGAGTAGGAATTTAATTGACTGGCATAAGAAAACAACGACCTAATCTGTAGGTTATTAAAACAAAATTTTTCGAAATTGTGACAGAACTATGCCATAAAATGAATTATTTCAAAAGGGGAATGGTATTTATCACGTTTTTCGTGGCTTGTATCTCCATGGCTCTGTTAGTGGCGAGTTTAGGGACAAAACACTGGGTAAGTGCTAGGGCCAAAAGGATCAAGAATCCGCTAGAAAGTGACGGTAAGATCAACTTCGGGTTGTTCGATGGAAAAAAGGAATTGAATGTGGCTTATGGATGGAGGACATACGATATCGATGGTGAGTAATTCCAGGAAGTTTGTTATTATCGATCAAGGTGAGATTTTTTATTAGGGTCAAGTATGTAATGTTAATTTTGAATTACAATGGACATTGATTATTTATCAATTAAAAGATTAATTGGTATTATACATGAATAGCAGCAATATTAGAATAGAATAGAAATATACTTTATTGTCACTGAAAATTGTACAATTTTATGGACAAAGCTTACAAAACGTCAAAAAAAATAACAATAACAATTAGGATTGACTAAAATTACATAAATCGTTAATATCACACAATACAAGGTACCTAATAAAATATACAATCCGTTGCAAAATTGAACTAAATTACAAAATGCGTAATGAAACCTTCCGAAGTAATAAGTTTAAGTTGCTCTGTATATCATCATCAATTAGCCTATATTTGTGCACTGCTGAACGTAGGCCTCCCGTCAAATTTTCCACCTATTTCTATCTTGAGCTTCTTGCATCCAGTTTGTGGTGATGCGCTTGATGTCATTCGTTCATCTAATCGGTGATCGTCCTCTGCTTTGATATGCCTCTTGCCTTGGTCGCCATTCCAGAATCTTTCTGGTCCATCTATCATCCGTTAATCTGGCAACATGTCCGGCCCAAGCCCATTTAGCCATGGCTATTTTTTCAACCGCATCTATGACTCCTGTTCTTCTTCTTATTTCTAGGTTTGGTACTTTATCTCTGATGGTAATACCTAATATTGATCCTTGTTTTATAGGGATGATTATAAATGCTGACTTCAGCCACTTTTGTGGTATTATTCCCGTATCGTACATCGTGTTGAATAAATCTGCCAATACTTCCAAGTTATCCTCTTCCACTAGTTTTAACAGTTCCACTGGTATTTTATTTAATCCAGCTGCCTTATTGTCTTTAGAGTTTTTGATAGCATATTTGATTTCATCTATCGTGATCTTCTGTCTCTCTAAAGGATTTAATTCTGGTATTTTCTGCATTTCACCTCATTCATCTTGGAAAAGTTCTCTAACGTACTCCTCCCATCGTCTTAATTTCTCTGGTAAATCTATTAGTAGTACTCCTTTTTTTGTCTTTTATGTGTCCTTGCTATCTATTTCGACCCATTCCAGTGACTTCTCTTATTTTTTGTGCATATTTCTCATATCATATTTTGTTTGTAGTTCTTATACCTCCTTACATTGATTCATCAAATAGATTTCCTTAGCTGTTTTGATTTTTTTCTTAATTATTCGTTGTATTTCTTTATACTTCTGTAGATCTTCTCCTTTATATTTCCTTCTTTCTTCCATATGTAATAGTATTTCTTCAGCCATCCACTGTTTTTTAGCATCTTACCTATGTTGTATCAAATTTTCTTGAGCTGGTTTCAGTAATGTGTTTTTTATATTATACCACTTTTTATTTACATACATAATTTGTTTATTGTCGGTTAGTTTATTTATTTAGCGTTTGGCTATGCTATATCACAGGTTCATATATATACATATAATATAAATTATATAAATTACAAACAACAGTAAATACAAAAATATTATTCTACAAACAAACATCTAAATTATAAATATATTCGATTGACTCTTTTGTAGCAGCCAGGAAATCTGAAGGGTTGCCGTTATAGGATCTAATCGGGCATTCCTCTACCATGTGTTTTACTGTTTGCCTTTCGGCGCCGCAGTCGCAATTTGGTGATTGTATTTTTCCCCATCTAAAAAGTGAGTCGGAACATCTGCCACAGTTCGTCCTTATTCTATTGAGTGTGGTCCAAATTCTTCTCGGTTGGTTGAAGCCCTCAGGTTTGCTTGTAATACATGGCATGTTCCAGTTAGCTGGTGCAGCGTTATTCTCCCATTGTTCTCTCTACCATTCAGTTACATCAAAGTTTTGATCTACTAGCCTTTTTGCTGTTTTTAAAGGCGGGTGTCTTGAACGGAGCCTATTTATGTCTCTGGCGGAAGTTCCGACATGGGAGCGGAGCTCAGGATCAGTATTGATTTTTGTAAATTCTCTGACAAGGGCATGTTCCCGGCGGATGGGTGGTGGAGCTATATGACTCAAAGCTGGTAACCAGTAAGTGGGCGTGACCTTGATTGTGCCCGATATAGTTCGCATGGCTTGGTTGAGTTGGACATCAACACGGTGAGTATGTGGACTGTTTATCCATACTGGTGCACAGTATTCCGCTACGGGGTATACCAGTCCTAATGCTGTCGATCTAAGTGTGGGTGCTGAGGAGCCCCATGTAGTGCCGCAGAGCTTTTGCAGGATGTTGTTACGAGTTCGGAGTTTTGCAGCAGTCTTAGTAAGATGCTCTTTAAAGTTCAGCGTTCTGTCAAGTGTAACACCTAAGTATTTTGGGTGTTTATTATATTTAAGGAGTCTATCCCCAAAATTGATTTGAGGTTGATAGTTGGCCATCTTGTTCTACAAATGGAAGCAGGACACTTCTGTCTTACTTGGATTGGGTTGCAATCTCCATTTGCGGAAATAATCCCCTAGGGCATTTAAATCGTTTGTTAGAATGCGTTCAGTGACCTCGAATTCTTTATGACTTGCTGCAAGCGTCCAGTCGTCTGCGTATCCAAACTTTTTTGATGTGGTTTCTGGCATGTCTGCTATGTAGAGGCTGAAAAGCATGGGAGCCAGCACGGATCCTTGTGGAAGTCCATTATTCAGTTTTCTTTGGGTACTAGTCTTGTCTCACAATATAACTTTAAAGCATCTGTTGGATAGCATGGCGTTAATAACCTCAGTGGTCTTTCTGCATGGGATTATTCGCATTAATTTATATATTGTCCCTTGTCGCCACACAGTGTCATAAGCAGCAGATAGATCGATGAAGACAGCGGTTGTTTTTGATTGCTTTTGAAAGTTTGATTCCACATAATTGGTCAGGGCGAGTACGTGGTCTGTGCAGCTGCGGTTTGGCCGATATCCTGCCTGTTCCACTGGTAAGTGTTGGAATATGGTTTTGCTGATTCTATTATACAGCAGTCTTTCGAACAATTTGTACACCATACTTAAGAGTGCGATGGGACGGTAGTTTTTCGGTGAATTATTACTTTTCCCTGCTTTTAAAATGGCGACGATTTTTGCATTTTTGAGTTGGTGGGGGACGTTTCCCGTTTGAAGGATGTCAGAAAAGAATTCTGCTAGCCATTGCCTAGTGAATCTGCCGCTATGTTTGAGGAACTCAGCGTGAATGGCGTCGAAAACCGGCGCTTTTCCTGTTTTCATTTCATTTAGGACTTGCGATATTTCTTTATGCGTAAATGGGTTGGAATATTCTGTTGACTGTGCAAGACTAGATTTTATGGTTTTGAGGTCTTTTTTAACTTTAATTGTATGTAAACGATTTTGAGGTGCCCTAGAGGTTGACACTATGTGCGTAGCTATTTGGTCTGGAGTTACGAGGTTGGTTTGGCGAACGGGTGGGTTGCTACTTCCGAGTTTCCGCAGTAGGGACCAAGCTTGTCGACTTGACTTCTGGAAGTCTAGGTTTTCCACTGTCTGTGTCCATTTTTCAAGCCTGGCAGCATCAATGCTGTGGAGTAGTTCGTCTGCAATCTCCTGCTTTCCATCTTCGCAGTCCATGTCGGTTAGTGTTTTTTGCATATTAACATTCACATTATTTTTTAATTCGTATTTTAGCATTCTTACATTAATTTTTGGTTGTTGTTTTCTGAGTTCAATTCTTTTTAATTTTCTTTTCACTTCAGCAACTAACGGATTGTGGTCTGAGTTAACATCTGCTCCAGGATAAGTTTTAACTGAGGTTATAGAGTTTTTATATCTGCTATTTACGGGTATAAAGTCTATCTGGTTTCTGACAGTGTGGTTTTTTTCTGTATGTGAAGGAGACGTCCATGTATATAGTCTTCTCTTAGGAAGCTGAAACCAAGTATTGGCAATTGCCATATTCTTTTCTTGGCATAAATCTATGAGTCTTTCTCCTTTCTCGTTTCTAATTCCTAATCCAAACTGTTCAACTATATTTTCAACTGTACCTACACCAATTTTTGCATTAAAGTCTCCTAAAATATAAGCAATATCTCTAGATTTTGTTATCTTGATTGTATTGTGCAATTCTGAATAAAACTTTTCGATCTCATCTTCGGTCTTATCAGCTGTGATAAGGATAAGATAAGGATAAGACTTGGATCATATTAATATTATAGTTCCGTGCTTCAATTTTTAGCATTATTAGTAGGTCTCAGCTTCTTCTTCTTAGAGTGCCGTCTCCCTACGGAGGTTGGCAATCATAATGGCTATTTTTATTTTAGAACTTGCTGCTCTAAACAAATCAATCGATCTGCATTGGTACCAATCACGTAGATTCTTTAACCATGAGTTCTGCCTTCGGCCAACAGATCTTCTTCCTTGAATCTTTCCCTGTATTATCAGTCTCAAAATTTCATATTTTGGTCCCTCATCACGTGGCCTAGGTATTCCAGTTTTCTGGTTTGTATAGTGGTGATTAGTTCTGTTTCTTTACCAACCCTCTCTAGTACTTCTTTATTTGTAATTATATCAGTCCATGATATTTTCAATACTCTGCGGTATAACCAGAGTTCGAAGGCCTCGATTCTTTTTAAATTACATTTTTTTAATGTCCAAGTCTCAGCTCCATATAATAATATTGAAAATATATAACAGCGAATTGTACGTAGTCTGATCTCCAAATTTAGATTTTTGCACGTTAGGAGTGGCTTCATTTTATTAAATGCTGATCTGGCAATCTCTATTCGTCTGTTTATTTCCACAGTATGATCATTGGTTTCATTGATCAAAGTTCCCAAATACTGATATTTTTCTACTTGTTCTATCACGTTACCATTTATTGTCAATAGGTGATGTATATTTTGTGGCCTTTGTGTAATCAGCATGTACTTCGTTTTTTTAGCGTTTATAGTAATTCCCATCTCAGCACTATTTATACTCAAGCTTTCGATAAGATGTTGTAGATCCTCTATACTCGTTGCTATGATCACAGTGTCGTCTGCA